ATACAATAAATTGTCATTAAAAAACATAATATTAATGTAATCTTACATTACGGTTAATTAACTGTAATTTTAAACATAAAATCTAAAATTACTGAAAATATCTGTAAATCTACTGGCATTTCATTGTTTTATTGGAAAACAGGAAAAATCTGTAAAAAATTACATAGCATTTCCTGTAAAATTACATTTTTTTTTTACAGTGCAGTTGCCCACAGGCACGTGTATTTCTCTACATGTCTGTCTCCCGAGAGTCCCTCTTTGTCCCCAAGGTACAACAGATGTTGGATCATCTGAAAGCTGCCAAATTCTTGTCTTTGGTCCCAACCTCCTTCCCCGACAGCAGTTATTGAACGGAAAGTGACCCTGTGACTGGCCTTTAGCATCATCATCATCATCAGTGGCTGGCTGCTCATCAATGGCAGCCCTCCCATGAGTTGGGTGCTTACCCCATCTGTCCATGAAAAGGGGTGTTGCCCAACAGATTACAGCATTCTTGGAGGTAAAATATTTTGTTCTCCTGCTTCATCATCTGGACCTCAGCCTGATGCAGTTATATGTGTCAAGCACAGAGAGGAATCCCACTGGTTTGGACTTTCTACTTTTCTCCTCAAATGAATAAGAGAAACAGCTGCATAATTCGGCTTTGTTTGCCATAATTTGCAACTAGTTGTCTTTTGTCACATATCAAAGCAAGTAATTCACTGTGTAGAAGGAATTGGTTCCCAAATAGGCTTTGCCTGTGTCTCTTTATCAGGAAGAAAAATGTCTGTTTACCTCCTCTATCACCGGTCTTGCATCATCAACTCTCAGCAGGTTTCAGACACAACAGTCACTCTCTAACAAACTCTTCTTACTTACCTGAGAGCAAAGAGAACGCAGTGAGTTTGAATCTGAACACTTTGTAACACACACGCCGCTCTCTTCTGCCAGCACAGCCTCGGTCAGTGATAAACCCTGTTAGGACAGATGTGAGGAGTGTCTCACACTCTCCCCTGCTATGATGTCTCAAACGTGAGTGTGTGGGCAATGTTTTTGAGACATGTGAGAATGAAGAGGCGTGTTTCACTGCTTGTGGTTCAGCCCTTTCTCGTGATCTCCCCCTGTGTTGCAGCAGTTGTGCGACTGTGGGTGGGCCCAAACTCTTTGCTCAAATGCGTACCTGCTTTCAGGCTTTTCCTGGCTGTAGTTCTGCAGCCTGCTTTCCTCAGGGCTAAGCAACACGCCGCAGTTTAATCGCCAGTCATCTGCATTCAGGGGCATTCTACAAACCTCCTTCTCACATCTGCCAAAAGTCAGCAGGAAACAGCTGTTTGCGGTTTTAGCCTTAAGTATGTCAGTTTTACTTACTGGCGAGAAGTCAGTCATTTAAATCTCTGTGAGTCATTCACAGCTTGATGCCACATGAGTGTTGAGGTCACATTTGAGTTGTCATGGGAGTCGGCAGAGTCACCTGATTTAAGTGTGAACTGGTGTGAAAATGCTTGGGAGGGGATATCAGGATGGCATAGACTGCTGAGTCCAGATCGGAAGAGGTTTTTCTAATTTGGGCATTGCTCCTGTCCGGGGGTTCTTGCATCTTTTTGATGTATCCTGCAGGTTTTGTGCATTCCTTATTGCATCAATATGTGCTGTATACTGCCTTTCTCTTCTTATTTTTGAGTGTGTCCCCCCTTCCTTGCTCATTTTCCACATGTGTGGAGACAAAGGGTTAGGGATTCTGATGGAGAGCTGGCTGATCTTGGCCCCCGCACAACAGTACCTGTAAGCCCACATGATCCTGGTAATCTGGTACATCACATGCCTGGGTTTTGCCATCAACCTCAAACACAGCAACTGCTCAAGCATATGGTTGACCATGATCAAGGCAGAGATGGTGATGTATCTGTTCAACCTCACATCAGCTGCCCAAAGTTAGGGCCACTCTGTTTGGGTGAAGCAATAGTGAGGCCTGGCTACACCCATAGAGCTACAATTACATCAAGGTATCTTTTATTTTCTCCATGAAGGCCAGTGCATGCAGACACACACACACACACACACACACACACACACACACACACACACACACACACACACACACACAAACATGCATCACCTAGTCACATACAGCTATTTCATGCAAAGGTGTAGTGGCACAGATAAGTGTTTTGACAATAGACATGCTCTCTGTCATAGCTTGGGTGCCTCTGCAGACACACTGGCTCCCTATCCCCATGACAGAGAATCAGTGCAAGAGATAAGATGCTCTCCATATGTCTCTATGTGTGTGTGTGTGTGTGTGTGTGTGTGTGTGTGTGTGCGTGCGTGCTAGTGATGGATTTTGTATCGAGTTCTGTATCCAGAAAGTTTAGTAAAAAATGGACTAAAAATCTGATAGGAAAGCGCAAGGGAACCAAACTTTATTTGTAAAACTAAAACTTTGCATCATTAGCACCTACTTCAGCAACAATGCTCCTTTCTGTCTCCATGTCATTACAGGCAAGAAGAACTCAATCCTGATGCACAAAGTTCAGCATGATCTGAACTCAGGTGTTTTCAACAACCGGGAGAATGAGATGATCCAGGAGATAGTAAAATATGATCGGGAGATGGTTCAACAGGTGGATGTACCACGACCACGAGCCATGTCCATGACACCTCCTCTACACAGTGGGATCTTTACTCCTCCAGGTTCCTCCGGCCAGCCTCAGAATTCAGCAATTGCGACTCTGCAGCAGGCCGTAGCCATGAACTTTTGTGCTCCCATGCAAGGGAGCTCAGTGGGAGCGGGGAACCTGCAGTCTCCAAGGATGGTGAGGAGATTCCAGGTGATACAAAATGTATCCAGTCCTGTCTCAGCCTCTCCCCTGCACTCTCAGCTTCTTGCTTCTGGTGCCTTTGCTCCGGTCCTGTCCAGCCCCCCGGTCCACAGCCCACTGGCAGTTGGAGGACGATCATTCCAGTATGGGTCCAATGCCCTGGCTGGTCCCACCTCAGGCTCCCAGCTTTCTCTAGTTCAGCAGCACATGGCCAGCCCTGCACACTGGCCCAGCACACATAAGAGCACCCATTCCTTGCAAATGGGTAGTCTGAGCCAAGACGCCAGGGCACTGTCAGCCTCTCAGCCCTCACTGCCTCATGAGGGGGCACAACCAGGTGCCCCAAGTCCACCCCAGTCTACACGAGTCTCCTCCACTTCCATTGGACCCCCTCAAACCCCATCAAGTCACACAGGCGTTCGGAGCGCTATACCACATAGGATGGTACTGCCCCACCAAATGTCCGTGGGGGCCTTCCCTGTAGCATCCCTGCCCGGTTCTGTGCAGGGCTCTGGGGCTGGTGCAGGACTGGCAGTAGGGGGTGTGGGAACAGGTCTGGGCGACTCAGGACTACCCAAGAAGGACTCTATAGTGAGCCTTCCTGAGACAGACCACATCAAAGTCAGATCCAGGCTATCCTCAAACTTGTGATCATAATGAAACTCTTGGGGGGAGTGATTCAGTGAGGGGATTGGGTGCAGAAACATGGGAGGATTTCTGCTCTCCCTCCTACTGTTCCTCTTCTCTCTACTCACTCTGGTTTGACTACCCGAATGTATGAATGTTGAGTGAGTGGCAGCAAGAAGAAGAGAGGAGACTGTTCAAATAAAGTCTGTAAGGTGACAATTGAATCTGCAGCATCGAGACATTTCTACTCACAGACACAGTAGATACACAGAACAGTCGTGGTAAAGTAGCATCTGCCCATCTCCCTCTCCTTTATTTATTGTATTTCAAAATACAGTTAACAGCATACAGGCATATCTGCTTCACTTCCCCTTTCATTCAACTCATTTAATGCAAACTTGGGGTCGGATGGGACTAAAAGAAAATCAGGGACCTGCTTCAGATATAAGAAGTCGGCACTTTAATGGGGTTTAACTACTGTACCTACCACATTTTGTCATCTGGCTGGCTGTGAAAGACAATCTCCTTACAAAGGCATAATAATTGTGGTTTCATAAAAAGTTTGAACATGAGAATTGGTGTGTTTTCGCTATGTTTTTAAGGATCCATTTAAATAGATCATTAGACCAAATTTGTAAGCACAAAATTGGACAATATAAAAGAGCACTCTCCTTTGACAACTACTACTTTCAAGCCATATTTTTCCCCAGACTATTGATATGAATGGATGAACAAGTATTTACTGTATATAAATCCAACTGGCATTATCAGAATCTAGCTGGCCTCTTTTGTAAGTCTTCCCTGCCTGTGATTTTCCCCACAGATAAATATGTGAGGCCCCTTCAGATCACAGATGATGAATATCCTTCAAACTGAAATTACAGCCGTGGGACAAATTGTCTTGTTCCGGCCAAGCCATCGATTTCTACAGGAAATGTCTGCATGTTTGTTTAATTTAAAAGCTGCATTAATCAATATTTTTTCATATCAACAATGAATGAAATGACTGAGTGCAATGCAAAGGGAATGATGAACCAGCAGAGAATGATCATTCAATTCTGCTTCTCTATGGAGATTTTTTAGCCCATAGTGGTTCATTGTTTTGGTTTTAAGACCCACAATTTTATCATACAGTTCAACTCAGTTCAACTCTCCTCTGCATTGTTTCCAGCAACAACAGAAAGGCAAAGCTAGAAACTAGCAGATGTTGAAAGCCAATCATTTAGCAAGCTAAAGCTTAAGCCAGATATTTCTCAGGAGTTGATAGAGACCAAACCAGAGCTAAGCAGTCTGTCAGGTGGAGAGAAAAATGACTCTAGTGGGATGATAATCTTGCTCAGGTCTGCTGGATGTGGAAGTTAGCAGTTTTGCTAATTCATCAGGGCTGTTTAGCTTGTTTTGGAGCTCTGTCCCCAAGTGGGCAAAAATTGATTAATGCAGCTTTAAAATTTAGTAAATAACACGTCTTCTTAACAGCAGATGTGATTTCTGAAGTAGTGGGTTTAAGGTGTGTTGTCATGTGAGTAGTAATATCCCACACTTTGTGAAAGTATTCTGATGTATCTTAAAAATTATAATTCACTGCCAGTTAATTACAAGGAATTTTATACCAGTCAAAATGTAAAATCATTCAAACTCACATAATCAAAATGTAAATCCATTCCTTTCTAATCCTGAATCTCACATTTCTTGCAGCAGCAGTTTGGGCAATGTGTCATTATGCCAAAGTCAATTCATAGAGATGATGACTCTTGCGAAGCTCAACCCTATGATAAACACTACAGTTTTGATCAACAGCCAAGGACAGTGCAGATACTTTGCAGGATGTATATTGCAGTGTGCCTCTGTCATTAATGCCTCAATAACAGTTCATCGGATGCCGCTGATTTGTGTCCAAAAGCATTAGGAAGGGGACCTTCTCTCCCGGACCTGACATTCTATTCACCTCATCTCACTAATGCCTGAACCATTACTGGGTAATGACAGTGGAAATTGGAATCCCTCGGGTCTGTTTGGGACTGTTACTATTCTCCTTTGATTGGATTTCATTATACAGTGCCAATAATGAGTTCCTCTCCTATGATCATTTTGCATTTTCATTTTGCTCAGTTTCAGTTCCTGCATTGTTATCCTCTACCTTGAGAGTTCCAAATGGGACAAAGTTGAAGGTTTTCGAAGTATTTTTATACAGCAATTTTGAGGTCTGCTGTCTTTTTGTTCTACGCCCAAATTATGCCCTATGGAACCTATTTTGGATGCTCAAAAATAATTAATATAGACACTTGTTATGAGAATAGTGTTTTACTGCACCTGAAGGCAATGTCTCAGGAGAGCAAATGCATTTAGTGACAAAATTAGTTTATAGTCACAGTAGAAAGCACACAGTAGAGACGGCAGTAAGAAGGAGAAAGGGAGGGGATAGGAACAATAGCTGAACTTAAATCAAAATGAGATATTAACTCAAGATCAATGACACCAAATCAAACCCTCGATTTTAATAAAAGCCAAAGAGGGAACAGAGTTTCAAGGCCTGGGATTTTTTTTTTTTGAATCAGGTTGTTAGGATATGATGAATGACATGTCACAGACTGAACCATTCACTCTGACTAAACATAGAAATCAGAGAATAATACACTAAACTCATTCAGTCATGACTTCATTGCCTGAAAGGGAAGTTTAGCATACAAAGCAATAACTGAAAACAAATGTGTCGCCACTATATGCAAATGAAGTTCTGTTGTATCCTTTAGGTGTTAATGGAGATGCAATATTTCACGTATTAGATTGAGATCCCAAACTTTAATGAGAATTTGTTTAAAGTCTGTTTTTGGAAGATCATGAGGAGATAAAACACTTTTCAGTGACAATGACTTGATTGATATGGTTGTTATTTCTATGTGTAAACACAGTGTGCATCTTGTAAACCAGACTAGCCTAGTTTACTGTAACTGTAGAGATAGAAAAAAAAAAGTTTGAAAAAGGAACATATTTTTAATCTTTGACAAAATACATATTATCATCTGGTATGACCCGATATTACTTGAGCTTAATAATTAAAGCAGAACAAAACTATTTGCATTACAGAAGATGTATCACTTCTTTTTTAACAGTCGCTCACAGTACCACCCACAGTTTGTATATAATCCTGTGCCAGTTGCTGTGAGGTCTGCATGGTTTCTTCTCTTGTGTATATTTTATTTGTTTAGTTATATTTTTTCTAGTCTCACACCCCAGTCCGTTTACAAATCCTGTCCCTCTGACAAATGCTGCTTCCTGATTTATTTTTCTTTCTGTGCTGATTCCTCTGCTACCTAAACAGCATGTTGCCCAGAAACTGTGTAAATGCACTTTCCTCTGTTTTTGCAACTTCACAAACATATTTAGTGTTATGTAAATGTTACAGCAACTCAGCTGTTCAACTTTTTCAGTACACCCTCCAGGCTTTGGTAAAGATGGCACCTGTGCACACACATAGACTCAGCAGCAGCAGCAGCAGCAGCAGCAGCACAGGCATCAAGCAGCATTTAAAATGCTGTTTTCAAAACACTCTCGTCTTCATTTTTCCTGTCTTCAATGCCACAGCTTCTCCAGAGTTAACACTATGTTCATTTCAATTTTTATTCAAATGTGTCTTTGGGTTCATCAATGGCAGTGAAGCAAAGAGATTCAGAGTATTTAAAATGTTCACTTACAAGGGCTGTTCATTTGGATTGAGCAAGGATGTGATTTTGTGTCCCTAACTTGTTCACATATTTATATATTTATGCTAATGAGTTCAGATTTTTTCTCTTGTATTGGCCAATAACAACTATACCAACACTAAAAACAACTTTTTTATACTAGTTGTTTCTGTATTTTACAGGATACAATACAATGTAATTCAATACCAAACAGCAGTTAGTCAGAATCTATTTGTTATTTCCTTTACATCCCTGCCTTTTGTTGGTTTAACTCTTCCTTACTTTCTTTCTCAGATCCCAGACCTGTTAGTGAGAGTAATAGCATTCAATTTAATGGAGACTGGGTACAAAGCCAATACCAACACCAATCAGTACCTTAACACTACAGTCAAATATAGGCCAGCTAATGTACACTGAGATCTTCACCATTAACCATGAATTCCCTTGAAGCCAACAGACGATCTCAGACGGTCACTCTCGGCCAAATCAGACACTTACAGTGCAGTGCAAGTGTTTCTGTGTCAGGGTCCTGATTTTCTTTTATTGAGCCACTCTACAGTTGTCACATCCCATTACCATGTACTGTGCATACCTAGTGCCTAGCCTATATTGTAGTCTCCACATACATGTACTATATTCTCTGTGTGTGGCTGTAAAAATAAATGCAAGCTCCTCACAATGCAAACATCACTGTCAGTTATATCCCACTGCAATACATGTAAAAAAGGAAAACCAATAAATTGATTTGAATACAGTTTGATGTTTAGGTCTCTCACTTTGGGTTAGCATGTTGGAAAAGCACAAAAAGATTATCACATAATGAATATGTGCTTTCCTCATATAGAAGCAGAACTTCTTGATGCAATAAAGGCATGTGGCAGTGAATGCCTTCTGTTAGTCATGATGTTGAACATGTGTCAAGGTAACACGGCCTCTGGACCTTTGTTGTCAACTGGTTACATTCTTATATTATGAGATTATCTGCCTGGTTGTCAAAAAATAGGTAAACCTTCAAATACAGTAATGGATTACAATATTTTTTGTCTGAAATATTGGATTTATATGTGGAATAGCTGAATGCTTTTATTTTAAAATATGGCATTTTTAAAGCCTGGTTATCTACAGTTGTTAATATTTTAGAATGCAACTTATTTCTTATATATAGCAATCAATGTTTATCCATCATGAGTTCATTTATCCAGGTTTATTCATCAAAGTGAAGTCTGGGTCTACTACACTTCTCGCTATCTCACTGGTTAGCTCACTCTAGCTAGCTAAACGTTTCCCGCTTGAAGTGGGTGTCCAAGGTGCAATTTACTAAGAGACATTTAGCAGGAATAATGCTCATAGACTAACTGTACTAAGGACCTGTCACATGCACCTCTGCATTTGACCCATTCCCTGTTTGTGCCCCTCATGCATTAGCATACATTCATAGTCATAGTGGAAACCGTCAGTTTATATAGAAATTAATGAACCCAGATGGTTGTTTAGGTATTGCTAGAATCCTCAAAGACTCTTCTAACCATCCTGATGAAAAAAATGTTCCTTCCTTATAGCTTGTTTTTTATTGGACAAACTCCTTCATCCAGATGGTTAGAAGTCTTAGTCTTTTGGGATTCTGAAAATATCGTCAGATCAGAGGTAAGTGCCTTTAAATGACCTCCTGGGTTTTTCAAACATTGCTGGTTAATTATCTTTTAAATAAACTGATGGACCGAATACATGAGGGGCATAAACTGAGGCTACATTTAATAATTATTCCCTGCTAACAAACATAGACTTATACAGGGAAGTTAGAAGTCCTAAACAACTGTGGATAATCCTAGCAGAGACAGAAAATGTTACGACTGACTGAAGCTTTACTGCAAAAACTTCATTACCCAGAGGACATGAAAAGAAGTTGGCTATGATGATTATGATTAGTGGCTCAAAAAACACTTAAAAATCACAAAAAAAACTTTATTCATGGCAATAAACTGTTTTTGAGTTTAGCCTAAATCCGCTGAAAATAAAGGTGGTTTTTACTTTCAGCATGCCCCAATATCTTTTTTGCTCAAAAAATGTGCCAAAAGTGGACAAAGAATTGATTAGAATTTGCATCAATCACACTGTTAATCATTTCTCCAATAGTAACTAAAATTGGAAAGATTAATTTAATATGTAAATCCATAAGCCGGGGTTTTCAACCTTTGATTTTCAAACAGGACAATGAATTTGAAAACTATGGAAAACAGAACTTTACTAAGGACTCTTTCGATTTTACTCTGATTTTAGGGAATGCCACTTTGTTTTTGTGTGGCTTATCTTGGTGGGTTTTCCTGCACAGGGACAGATGGTCTCCAAAGTGGAAACTGAAAAGACTTCAAACACAACTGTGTGGGTTTGAATGCAGAGGATTAAAGAAGCCTCTGTAGGTTTAGTACTTTGTGCCAATAATGCCACAGTAGGAGTCCATGCCCACGTAAAGTTATCTCCTAAAATAATATGTTTTCCTAAAAAAGGACAGGCATTCAATTTACACTTGATTTAAACATCTAAAGGAAAAAAAAAAACCGACACCAACACATTTTTTAAGCAACACCAGCTGACTGAAGCATCACTGCATCAGGCACCAGATGTGTGTGTATTGTATGTTTTCGATGGTTGATAATCAACCCATCTCTGCCTGTCACTCAGAATAAAGGTCAGACCAAGGAAACTCACACTGACATACCTGATACCTGCCAACACTGTACCACCTGTCTCTCCCAAACACCAGCACTCCCTCCTTACTGTGCTGCCTCCTGCCTCCTCTCCCCTGCTGTCAGAGAGCTCTGGCCCCATTTGCTCCCCACCGGGACTGTCTGTACACTCTGCTCCCCTGCTAGTGCTGCTGAGTGCCGGCCACTCATGACGCCATGGGGCAGTAGATAGGCCGGGAGAGCCCGGGAGCCTGGCAAAGAAATCAAAGTGCTCTCAGTGAGAGTGAGTGGTCCAGCTATCAAAGAGTGGCTTCCAGCTCTGGCATGCCAGACAGATGACAGATAGTGACCAACACTTCTATAGTGTCCACTTTCTGATGATCCCGTGGCTGGAATAAAGAGCTCACTAAAAGCTCCACACTACCGTTTGTGCTAAATGTGATACACTTACTTCTGCAGGTGTGGCATCATTCAGTGACATACAGTACATTCACATATTATCATTTCAGCAAGCATGTCATTCAAGGTCTTGTATGGTGTTTTAAATGGAAAAAAAATCCATATTTCATATTAATATGCCTGCCATGCTAAATATTCATCACTTTTTGAATTTTTAAAAGGAACCACTTTTATCTCCCAATGCATTCATTGTTCTCCATTATATTTACCATCTTATTTCTATTGCTGGTTAGAGTGGGCTGGAGCTTACCCAGCATGCTTTGGGTGCGAGGCAGGGAAACACCCCTGACTGGCCCTCATTATATTACAGGTAGACTGTCACATTCACGCTTAGGAGCAATAGAGCCTCCACTTGATGCATGTCTGGACTGTCAAAGGCCAGCTGGATGAACAGCCGACCTCCACATGGAAAAAGAACAACCTGGCATCACACTGCTGCTTCATTTCCAACTTTCAAGACCGTTAAATTAACAATTCAAATTAAAGAGATTCTTGAAAAGGCAGCAGAAGTGACAGCAACATAGTGAGATGTTACCCAGTCACTTCCAGAGCAGAGGAGCACTAAAGAAAAAATATGAATATTAATCCAATGAATTCACCACCAGGGTGCTGAAAGTCATCCTGTGTCTATGCTGCACTCTCTAATGCTGATGTCAGATGTTTACTGAAGCTGAGTGATCTGGACGGGCCTGACACGGCTGATTTATTTAAGGTTCGGATCACAACCCAAAAGTCAGAGAAAGTTTAATAACCAAGGACCACACTAAGCAGAAGTCACATTAAAAATAAATATCCTGTCTAAACTTGACTGCCTTAAACATGATAGACTGAACTTATTACTTGCGTATTATACACATCCAGAGACTTTAAATTGCACTGCAAAGGACTTAAGAACATAAGAGTTTTATTTTGGTAGGTATTTCAAACATGTTCTCTTCAAAATGAGTGTAAAACAAGAGCACTTCCAAATCTTTCTGTTGGAGTGACATCAGCATCTATAGAGGTAAATCCATCTGTCAGGCATAAAAAATGGATGTGTGAGGCCAAAGTGCTAAAAGAAAACTTTAAAAAGAAAGGAGATGCACAGGAGTAATAGTATTGTCCAAACACAGTCCCCCTCCTCCATCACCTTTGCACTATATATTTCCCATCTCCAAAATCATCATCACGATGTGTTGATCTCTGGAGAGGCCCCGTAATGGAAGCTATCTATTTCCTGTTCCAAGCAGTGCTCCATTACTGCAGGTTGGACTGGTGCATCTCTGAGGTCTCACAGCAGACATCCTTGGAATCACCCCAGAGAAAGTGAGACAGACCCATCAAGGCACACAGCAACTGCAATCTGCTGTAAGGACATCTTCAATATCCTGTTTACTCCCTCAGCCAAAGTCAACTGTAGTCTACCCACCAGAGCACTTACATCATCCCAACAAATACTGACTTTGAGAGTGTGTGCTTCTTGACCTGTCTCTCCGTACTAATCCTGCAACATGTAGTGCAATTTTAAGTGTTGTAGTGTCAGCATTTTAAAGCTAAGTCATAGCCAACCAACCCTCCCTCTAGTATGAGTCACAGCTATTGATTGAGACACTTATACCCTCAACATCCACCAATCAGTCCAGTCATCCACCCATGACCACTCCTGGGTGTTGAGCTCAGGTCATGTAGTGCAGAGCATTTTTTTTTTCAGGCAGCCGTGTGTCAGAAGTTAAGTTGTGAAATGCGATATGTGTTAAGTACGTGAGATCCTGAGAGCACTTTACAGGAGAGACCTCTGTCCTTGACAACTGGCCTCAATGAGATGAGGGGAGAGGAGAGACACACTGGGCCAATGCTTGCTGGAAGGAGACCTTGGCTTGGTTTGCTTTATCATGTAGATGTTAGGAGGTTCAGTGTTAAGGACACTCATTTGACTGAGTCAGTAATGGACAAACTGTTACATAAAAACTGCAAAGTGCTAAGTTGGCTGGTCTGATGAGGGAGTTGACGTTTAGCATGCCAGCTACAGCAGTTCACTATGTTATCAAGGTTTCGGCCCCAACTATTTCGCATGAATATCACTTTTCCATCTTGGCATCTCTCTCATGTTTCACGTACAGATATGACAGTGGTAACTTCTTATCTAACTCGTAGCGGGAGAGCAAATAAGTTTTGGCTAGAAAACCACTGGATCCAAATTATTGTTGTTTTCTTGTGCCATTAAAAGGTCTGCTTTCATTTGAAATGTCTGTAAAGACAAAAGGATGTTGGAACGTTTTCAATGCTAATCAGGTGAGAAACCACACAAACCCTTCAAACTTCTCTTTTAATATTCAGTGTGTGTGAATATACCTTTAATTTGGCAACATTAATGGCTGTTTCTCACAGAGAGCACACCGGGCATGAAAAACAGTTCAAAGTAGATTCCATTTTAAATCATGTCATTAAGGGGATGGCTCATTTTTACAAAAAATAATAACTCAAATTCGCAAGTCACATCTCATGCATGTCATAAAATATGAAGAGCATCTGCATGTGCATGTTGCCATGCAAATCACCTGAAAACCTACAGTCTAATCAGCACACTATTTATGCCCCCCTGGAAGATTATCTCCATTTCATTACATTGTCACTCAGCCAGCTTTGTTTGGCTGAGCCTACATTTGCCTTTGAACATCAACGGCACCTTTTGTCTGAAACTGCTGTAATGTTTCCAGCAATGATCAGATAGCACTTCAGCTATTTTTACTTCTAGATGCGGCACTGGCCCAGAAAAATAAGATCTCAGTTGATTAGTGAAGCCTGCAAACCCTTTGTGGTGCATCTAAAAGGAGGCCTTCATCTCATGATACACAATAGGATTGAAATCCGCAGATATAACTAAATAACGTGCTGTCTCATTCATCCTATTTAAGCACACTAAGAATACCAGTTATTTCTTTGAACCATCAAAAGGATAAGGAGACATTTTAAAAAATGCATTTATTTTAGAGCAAATACCAAGTGCTTAGTCACTTGAAGAAGGTAAGAATCAAGAGTACACAGGGACATTATGCTATCTAAAAGGCCCTTGACTCACTCCACATTTCTCTTTCTCTCAAAGTCCCATTGCCCACATTTCTGTAAAGTACGTCTTTCATTTCCCCTCAAATGTCTCTTGTTCAAACTTCTACAGAAAAAGTTAAAATGTTTGAACTTTGTGTCAAAGAGCATCCTGCAATTCAGTAAATGCTGGAATCGATGATGAGGTACTCTTATTGAGCAGCAGAAGTGTTGCTGGGTGATGAAGTCGACACGACTCAGTATGGCTCACTCAGTCACTCACATATACACTACATTTGAATATGGTCTAGGTGTCCATTATAAGAGGTACTTTTCACTGACTGAAGTCTTAACATTCACATCTGGTGCTGATTCCATTATCTTCCGCCAGGATGAGTATCCCACCCTCCCTTCCATCAGCCCACTAGTCAGTTAATCAGGCGGGTTCATTGTGTGTGAACACCTCCAGCAGCTCCAGCGGCTCCAGCAGCTCCAGCAGCTCCAACCAGCCTGTGGACCAGGAGGCAGGCAGGGAGTGGCTGAATCAATGTGCTGATGTCTGAGGGATACAAAACCGGTTGAGACCCTGGGGGCCTGCAGCCTCCCCACTGCACTCTGTCAATTCCATTCATCTCCCTCGCTGGCTTGCACCCACGAGCCTCTCAGCTGAAGAAATAAGTGGATTCTTTCACCTGCTGGAGGTCAAAATCACCTGGAGAGGCAAGAGGCACAGTGCAAGGGGAGGTTTAAGTGTCTGGATAGTAGTTGCACAAAGTCACATGCACAGCTGCTTTTAACATAAACATACAAACAGAACCTAAAATTACAGGATAGGTATGCTAACACAACTGCGATCTGAATTTGGGAATCGATAATGAAAATAATCATCAGCTGCAGCTCTAGTCTGGAGCAAAGTGGTGGACCGACTAACCAACCGACAAAGCCATCCCTACATGGTGTCCCATCTGTTATTGAGGAAGAAGATGCATTTTGTAAGCTTATAAGTTATGGGACCCCTTGAGAATAGAATGGCACATCTTAAGGGGTTTATTTCGCTTGACACATAAGAAATTTGAACAATTTGCACAATAATTAATCTTTTATTTCTCCTTAATGTGTTTGTTCTGAGGTATCCTGAGTCTGGTCCGAGGACAGAGTTTCAATCTTCATAAAAAAGAGATGTTGTTTTGTAAGTGGGTCAAACTAAGGAACTTAAATTTTTAAATTAGATACATCTTTTTAGTTTTACTGGGCACCAGTAAATTTTCTATGAACTTTAATACAGCACTTGAACACTAATTTTAGCTCTGGATGAGCCCCTGTCCTGCACTATGTGCTTTGCCTCGTGTGCTCCTTGCCTCTCTGACAGCTGCGTACACCAGCAGGAGCTGCAGCGTGCATTATTGAGGAAAGGCCATAAAAAGTTAAGAATGCAAAAACCTACCGTAGCCAGAAAATGTTGACATCAATGCTTAATCTAATATAGTAACTGACCAATACATATATGTCTTGGTACCTGTCAAAACATAACACGTGGGAGGTACTGATATAAAATCTGTCTAAAAACTGTTTTTGCTCATGAATATGTTAATTGCACTTGCTGCAAAAAGTGTCAGTCTATAGGTATATTCCATAAAATATAAATTAATTAAAAAATAAATAAAAAATAAATTTCTGTAGTTCATTTTCTATCTTGTACTTTTTGGAAGTAACTATCTTCTGTGAAGGAATATCATCGTGGTAACAGACTCTTACCAGGATGACATAATGTCCTTCACTGTGTACCAAAGTGATGACACATACTGTATAAATGAAAATGTTTCTTGACCGCCTTGAGAACTGCCTTTGTAAAACACCAGTGTTAAAGCTTGAACCTAGGGAGGACATGAGCACACTGATTAACTTCCTAACTATCCCTCACCATCAAACACTGTATCATCATCAAAGTCAGACAATAGCCTCTCCAGCCTTTTTTCCCTCAGGTCTATGATCATAAATGCACCTGTTTCATCTGATCTCCTGCTGGATTACACACTGAGACCTGATTCACCTTTATAATAAGTTCAGGATCCTTTATAGTGAAGATTATAATGGATTTTAAGCCAAGATCAAGTGGGTGTCATATTGAACACTGAATACAATTGGCATGAATTGCGTTCAGGGACACACGCACACACACACTGAAACAAACACCCCTCAGGAGCACACCTGACTGGTCTCAGCCACATAAGCTGATTATGCAGAGGAGGGACACAATTAACAGTAATCAATTTATACAACCCAGCTGTCAGTGCCAAGCTGACAGTAAGTGTACAGATGGAGATGGAGAAAAGGGTTACATAACAGCAAAGCCTTCATCCACCTGAATGAAAGAGGGAGACGCTGCCTCTGTACATTACCACCACTGTGGACAACAATAGACACACTTAGAGTGGCGTCAGAGGAAAATGGGGGAATCTGGAGCTGCTAGTGGCTGCGCAGGAAGACATGAATACACCACCCATCATATAAGCTGAAAATTAATTTTAGCCAAACTCAATGGCTTTTCCTGTTTGAACAGCAGTCATAGCAACACAGGCAGCTACACAAACAACTACAGACAGTGAGATATATGTACATACAACAGGAAAAAATCTGTGTCTGTTATGTTCCTCGTTACTATGACAAAAAACACAAAACACCAATGATATTGATTAATTATGAAACAGGACACAAAGTACAGCATTGTGCAAAAACCCAGTTCAGTAGCATCAGGGAGGCCTGTTGCTAACCTCAAACATAGCTTCAGGACATACAAGTCCTCTACAACCCAATTAGGAACAATATAGCACCTTGTATGTTGGCACTCCCAAACAATACCTCGGCGTAAGTGAGGTCACATGTTGGGGAGCCTGATGGCTGCACACATACTGACCTGTCTGGGGCACTTTAGCCAGCAGCATGATCAGCCTCCTGTACTCCTGGTACTTCTTTTTCTTGGCCTCAGCCCTGCCGCAGAGGGAGAGAATAAAGAGTTAAGACATCAGTAACTCTCAGAAGAAAATGTCTGTGTGTCTATAGGAGTACTAAGTCTAAGGGAACTGGACTTTCAGATAACTTTGAGCCCTCATTCGAGTGGCTTCATCAGCTCTGATGACTGGTGGCCTCAGGTATTTCAACTTCAGCAGGTCGTTCACACCTGGATGTCACATTAAGGGTTGTTAGGGTTACATATGAGTTGTTTTTCAGATCAAACTGTTAGTCGTAAGTGTAGCTGCCTTTGAACTATGACTTCCAAATAAATAATTAGTACTTGTAATGTGATGTGCTGGAGCTGGCACATGTTCATGTGTTAGGATGTGAATGAGTCCTCAAAGTATCACATTTTTTACATATTACAGTTCCTCCCATGCGACAAACACACTATGTACTACTTTTTAAAACTGCTACTACTATGTAAAGTAGTAGTAGTCCATGTATGAATATGTAATATACTAAATGTTAATGGTAAATGGATTTGCACTTATATAGCACTTTTCTAGTCTTACAGACCACTGAAATAGTGAACAGTCCTACTCTGTGTAACATGACCAGTAGCCTGGCTGTTCACACCAGCGGCGCATTTCCCCACCAGTCAACAAACGATTCTGCTCCTCTGCTTTTTATTAATTACACATAGAGCTGATCTTTATAATAACCTCATGAATATTAATGTAAAGCTTTTTATGTGCTCCTGGATAAAAGCGGGGCAGTGCTTCTTCTGCAACAATGAAGTTAAAAGGACCATCGCCTTGTGTGATAATCTGCTTCTCTCCTGCCTGTGTGTGTGCTTATCTGTCTCGCTCTTTGTTTAGACTCTCAGATTTATTTATTATTAATCGAAGACGTGGAACGCCATTTTGGATCGTTCGACTTTCTTCTATGGAATGCAGCTACGGTTTATCCAAACAGTCACTAAATTTGTCGCTAGGTGATTTTTTATGAAAAACTAGCAACAAACGCACTACGTTGGCAACAGGGCGGGCTGTAAACGCCCTGTAATAGAAGCTGTTTATGCCAAATCATTTTGAAAGAGCAACAGCCAACTGGGAAAATCCAACGCCCTGCCAGCCAACATGTGGTGCGACTTCATGACTCAGTCACATGGCATTCGTGACTGTAAGTTGATCACGCAACTCTATCACTCAGTCAGTCATGGACATTCGCATTTATAGGGCTGGCCCACGCTTTTGCTGTCCAGCCAAAAATCCAGGTCAATGTATGTCAGTGAACCCTCAGGAATATAGTGTTGGTACTTTCAAAGTTGTCTGGCTGCAATAGAGCCTCATGTCCACATATATCTCAACATCAAAAATAATCATTTTGTTTTAACTTACATGTAGGTGGAGGATATAGCTCACTATATTAAAAAGGTCCACACCAGACATATTTTTTCACAGACATAAAAATACACTTCAATTTGTGTCTGATGTTCTTTATCCCCAAAAAGTTTAATTACCTTGTTAAAAATTATTTGGATCGTATATAATGATTCTACCCTACAGAAACATACAGATTATATCAATATGCAAATACATTTCATTTTAAAGGTTTAACTCCACATGACACTTGTGTAAGATATATGATTGGTCAAAAATCAAAAATTCCTGCACATACATACATGTCTTAAACTGAGATTTAAGGTGAGCTCATAGAAACTTTCCCCCTTGAGCAGATAAAAGTCTTGTCAAAACAAGTAACGAGAAAGAAAAATACATTTTTGACTTGAGGCAGGACTTTAAAAAATTCTTGGAAAAAAAATGGTACTGATGGTTAAAATCTGTTTAGTTTCATATCATGTCAAGGGAAGCAACCCAAAATGTCTTTGTAGTCCCAAATGTCCTTCTCTCTGGTGCCTACAAGAATGAATAATATGTTTGCCAGGTTTAGGGAACAGTAATTCGTCTGTGTGGATGAGAGAGAGGGAGATAGAGGAGTAAAGGCTGTAGAAAAGGTGTCCAATTATCCCAAAGAAAGAAAAACACAGTCAGATGATGAGCATCACCCAGCCTGAGGCCAGTAAGACAGATACACGGAGAGAATTTTTTTTTATATCTAATGTCACAGACAACTAGAGGAAAAACTCTGGCACACTAATATAACTTTTACGACCTTATAACCTCTTATGCGTGTGTACCTTCTGTTTGGACTGATTTATAATGTTTGTACAAGTGGGAGTCACATGTTGAGTGTATGATAGCGTTTGTCTATACCATAAAAGTCCAGAGAGATCACACAGTGTCGCATAAACACACAGACAGAGACTGATGGCAATGATGGCTTGTTGTGTAAGAACAATTCAAACAGAAAAAGAGGGATAGACTGCAGGTGGGGGTAACACAGTGTAAAAAATATGAACATGTAATTATTATATAACAGTATTTTATATAATATTTTTCTACAATATAGACCCAGAATAACAATAATTATTTCTCCCTGAATAGGAGATGATATGAAACAAAGTCAGGTATACCTATTTCTTTCAACACAAAACTGATAGATGAAGAACCACGGTGTTGCTCCTGAGACTTTTATGTGTGCACAATCAGGCGTGTTCCTGCATGCAAGTAAACTCACGGGATGGAAGTGCAGTACTTCTGTAGCAGGAAGTTGGACAGCTCTTGAAGGATTGGCTGGCTGTGCAGGGCGACAAACTGTTCCCGACAGACCTGACAGGAGGAGGAAGAGGCAGAGGAGAGTGTTCTCTGAGTTACTCTGGTCTGATCACTTGACTGACAAGCTCCTCAGACTATCCTAGCCTGGTGACCTGCTAAAAGATGGATGGAGGTGGGAAGGGGAAGGATGAAGTGGGGCAGAAAGAGAAGAGACCTAAGACAGTATAACTGTCCTGAGAAAGAAAAGTGTTACTATTTTCTGTACTGGCTGCAGGTTATCAGGATCATTCCTGTGATATAGAAAGGTTTCCCACTAGGACTGCACAATATGCAAAAAAACAAAAAACAAAACATATTGCGATTATTTTGACAGATTTTGTGATTGTGATATAAGTCCCACTTTTAGTAGGAATAGTAAGTGATTTTTGCTGGGGTCTGCACCAAACAAGAACGTCTGAAGAATATGACTTGCAGGCTGAGGCATCTCTGTAGCACCGCAATGCTTCATTTATGATGGTACGCTGTGACACATTTTACCTCTATCAAAAAATTCCACATATTGTGACTTAGATAGTGCACTTGGCCATATTGTTCTGTACAGCCTTATTTTCCATTTGCAAACATTCAAGGATGAGCACTTAATGTGCGATGCCTCAATGTAATGATAGATTATTAAGGACATTTTTGCAGTTTAAGGAACAAAAACTCCTCAAGCTGAAAAGGAACTGGGCAGTTCAGAAAATGGATGGATGAAGGATGAAGGATGCATCAGTTGCCATTAAAATAAGACCCCGCTTCACGTGCTTAGGCGTTGACTAAGATATTTAACACCCCCTCCTCTGCCGCTGTGTTCAATTACCTGTATAATGAGGAAGGCGTATACTCACACATCAAGAGAATATCAGAGAGAATAAATGTAGTGAGAGGGAGCTGCTTCATTGGTTGTAACTCCTTTGAAATTGGGTAAAGACATAAAAATGAAGCTACATCTACAGAAAATTGGGACTTTATGGTAATTTGGTCCATTTTATTCTACACTGTGTCTCAGCCTGGGCCTGTTGACAAGCTAGTTTCAGCAGGCAGGCGCAGACACTCATTTATCCTGCACAACAGGCTCTGGCTGATGCAGCTCCCTGCAGTCAGCAGCCTGTAAATCTATGCAGCAGTGAAGGTATAAAGTTTGTTTTACTGGCTTCACAAAGCGGATCCTTCTTACCTTAACAGAAGCACTAGTAATGCCACACAAATTATTTTTTATCACCAGCATCCACTGGAAAAGTGCTATAACAAGCTCAGAGCACAAACACATGCAATCATTCTTCTGTTCCAAAAATAGACTGAAGAGAAGCCTGGATCAGATGAACAGACTCACGTGTGCAAAGCCACCTTTAGCTTCAATTAATCAGCAAAAAGAGGAGAATACAAAACCCCAGTGATACATGATCAGACAGGATGGAAACAGCCGTGGAAGGATGATAAAGATGAGGAATGGTGAAAGAATCTGGGCAGGTGGAAGTAAAAAAAGGTTGTACTGTAATTTGATACCTTGTTCATGGTGTCCACAGTGAGGGCGTGGGTCCAGAAACAGTCGTGAACTGAGACGAATGTTAGACCAGCACTGGGATTGAAATCAGAGGGAGAAGATTCAAGAAAAAGAGCACAATAACACTGAACATAGGAAGACTTGGGGGGGAAAAAAAGTTGCATTACACAGACAATAATTGCTTAAATCATAGCGGACATTAATTCAAAGACGGTGTGAGTTCCCTCATGAATTATCGCACCTGTCCAGAGGCTGATTTTGTGAAACACCTATCTGAGTTGATAATTACATTTTAGATGAGAGGGTACTTTCTCAAAGCCATTTGAGGTCACGCATACATGGAGTCAATCTCAGAGGCATATTACAAACCGTCTTTAGAAAAATGACTCTGGACAGGCAAAAGGAGACACAAGGAGAATATCTCTGTTTTATCTGAAGTGTTCAAAATATTCATGTAATAAACACAGGAGGTCAAATGATACCCATAGCAGTGGAGAGCAGTCAGCATCATGTGTGTGGAGTCCAGAGAGTGGATGAAGTTTGGCGGGAAGGCGTTCTTCTGTTTAACTGTGTCTGGCTTCCTGTGAAAGGAACAGAAAACCGTGCAAAGACATTCAAAAGCAGTTTTGGATTTCTGTAACGGTTCCTTGAAAGTCATACAAGCAGAAAAACGATCATCTGCAGATTATGTCGGATGCCAGTGATTGCAAGGGTTGGTGATACAAGCAATCTTTTTTTATCAATTCAAATTAAAACATGTTGTGGAATATAAGGAAAAATAAAGAAAGCGTCCATGATAAAAGAAAACAAACTTCAGACCATACTGCCCAGTCCTTTAATTTTTCCTCTGTGGGTCAGACGCTAATGGGAAGTCTCTCCAACAGACCGCGGTTTTTTAATGTGGACTTTTTAATATAACCACAAATTAAATGTAAATACACCAGCAGGAAAGTCACTGGCGTAATAACAATATTATTCAAGCCTGCATCATGAATATTATTAGTCACACCTGTATTTTCCCTGTGACGACTCAGAATGTCCGCTGTACAGGCCTGTCTGTGTGCATGGATTTCAACATCAATATTTATTTTCCACTATGTGACCCCGGTGGGACTCACCATCTTCTGAACAATAGTCAATATGAGACTATGCAAATGTAGACGTGATATAAGAAATATTACAAAGTAATATAAATGCAGTGTTGCTGCTACAGAAGATGGAGCTGGCAGTAAAAAAAAAACATCCTGCCAATCTGCATCCCCATGTTCTCATTACCCCGAGCCTGTGCCATTCAAATCCTCTGGGCTGCCACAGACCAGAACGCTCTTCTAATGGAAATGCAGACAGAGCGGAGAGAGCTTGGGCCAAACCCAAAGGTAAAGCACACACACACCATGCCTGTCCGTCTGTCTTGTTTTGCTTCTGTCCGTTTTGCTCTTGGCTTGGAAAAGTTTGATTTTTATCACGGTGCTTTTAGTACTGCGGTTCTGGGCTTGAGCTGAACAAAAACAAGATTCCTGGAAATCAGCTAGTGATGCTTAGAACAAGACTGCCTTTCTCTTTTTCCTTTTCCTTTGTCTCACACCTCCACTCATACACAAATCAAACATGTCACCTTGAAATCCCATAGGTCTGCCAGGTTGGAAAGGTGCATAGTCAGTACTCAGTCAGTCAGTAAGGGTTAGCAACCACAGCATAGAGCTAGGCATTTAATATTTTTTTCCGCAGCATTTTAGAGGCCTGGATGATCAGCATGAGAGGGACAGAGGAAAAAGCAAGAAAAACGAGGGCTTGATTAGATTAAATGAAGGCTGTCAGCACTTCATCTGTACCTATATTTACATACTTTAATACTGGACAAGCTTTTTTGGGATCGTAAATTACAGCAAATGTAATTGTTAGTGCTCTGTGTGTGTGTGTGTGTGTGTGTGTGTGTGTGTGTGTGTGTGTGTGTGTGTATAAGGAAAAGCAGAAGAAAATCAGCCGTGCCAATTGTGTCAAGTTTAGCTCAGAATGTCAGCCTGCCTGATACTTTCTCTCTGACAGCAAATTTCAAGTTTCAGACAAGACGGCCTTTCTAAGTGTCACTCTGCCCTCTCTCTCCCCCCTCTCGACTCCTTCTGCATTGCTGGAGTTTCAGTATTCACACTGCTGCATCTGTGGTATATACTGTAGATGTCTGACTGAGGAGGATGGCTGTCAGTCTTTGTCATCTCTGTCTCGAGTGCTCTTACTCCCTCAACTCTCTGTTGCTGACTCTCATTCTGCCTCTTTTTGTCGTCTGCTCACCTCTATCACCCGTCCTCTGTCTGCTCTTTTAAAGCTATCTAAACATTTTTCTCTCTTGCCTCACCAACAAATGACACAAATGCTTAAATTCAGCTGGAAATCATGGTCTTCTTTCTCCTAAAAGATTAGAGATACTGAAGGAAGGTGGAAAAGGATTTACATACACTGGTGAGCAGGTGTAAATCAACTGCATATTTAGCTCTATAAGCCAATCAGAGGTTGGAATCCTACTTAAGCTACGCAAATACATAATTATATAAATATCTGACACCCCCTGAAGCAGTTTAAACTACTTAATTGAAATATTTTCCATTACCAAAAGTCAACTTCAACTGAAATTGGAAGTGTAAAACTATGCTTTCAAACTTTCTAAACCCACGGATGTCATTTCTTAATGTCAGACAAATGCAAAGTTACACACGAGCGAGAAGACAATTTGTGAAAATATCCACTGCTGACAGCACTTTTGTGCAGCTGAAGTTCCTGTGATTGTAAGCTAATTACCTCAAAAGAGAGATCTACTTTCTACTTTAATTCATCTCTAAAAGATTAAAAAGTGGTCTGAAATTACATTTTGAAAAATAAATTCAATGACGAAATAAAAGACCTGCTGTAAGCTCATTTTCTCTCACCAGTTACCCTCTGTCCCGGTTGTAGGTCACTAAAATCAGACTAACTGGTGACATTTCAGAACAAAATGTCAGTGTGTGCCATGAGAGAATAAAGTGGTAACATTACATCTGCTATGGATCAGTGTTTGTATGAGAGTGGAGAAACAGGCGGAAACAGCTGTTAACTACAGGAGGACTTACTCTTTAGTGTCATGGTTGATCTGGACATTGATGAGTTGCATGGTACTCTTCAGCTGGAGAGACAAAACGAAGACAAAGAAAAGAGACGGTTAATAATTCCACTTCCATCAGGCTGATGATGGCAGTAACTTGAGGTCCAGACATAACTACTAACTCTAATCTGTGAAAATATAAAGATAAAATTATGTTTAACATGTCAATTTTTATATACATAATATATCTTACCTAAGTTTTGAAACAAAAAATATCAGGGCATCTAACTAATTCAACTTCATTATAGATTAATCTGACAATTGTTTTCTTGACACACTGATTATTTGTTTGGTCTTTAAAATATCAGAAATAAGAGAAAATGTTCATCACAAGTTTCTAAAGCCCAAGCGTATATCTTCTATTGGCCACTTCAGTCTAAACCCCTGAAATATTCTGTTTACTATCACATACAACAAAATGAGTGGAAAATTCTCGCACTGGAGAAGCTGGAACTCAGGACTCACAAAATAATTGTCGATTAATTTTCTGTTGATTGATTATTTGATGAATTGACTGATCGTTTCAGCTGTACAAAATATAAATGCGATAAAGTCATATGGATATTGTCCTAGTGTGGAAAATTTTTTGTTCAAACAAAAATGAGACATCAAAATATCCAATTTTAAGACACATAGTATAACACAATGGGCTAAACATGAGATTCAAATCTATTAACACTGGATACAGAAAAAAAAAAAAAAAATCAGCATATTCGAAGTTGTTGGTGTTTTAATCATTTCATTTCCACACAGCAGAAAATGTGACTTGCCCAGCTATTATGGTTCTTTACTTGAGATGCACTTGACATTCTGCAGATTACAAAATCAACTCTACAAAACCACAGCTGACATGAATCACTTCACCTGATGCACATTGCCAAAACTGTGATCGGACAAAAGTTGAAACCATTTTTATTTCAAGCCTCAGTTGTGACTTAGAATTGTTCATGGTGGATTCTCAGCCTACCTGACCAGAATCCAGGGTGAAAGGAAACTAATTTAAAATCAAACCATGGTTGATAACACACAGAATTATATCCATCCATCCATGTTACATTCCCCAGCTGCTTATTTAGGTCAATGGCCACAGGGAGCCAGGAGGCACTGAAACTCATCGCAGGATACTTGAACCCTAAAAGCTGTGACTGTGGTTCAAAGGTTCATTGCTACTTTAACTAAATTAAGTAGTTGCAGTTGTCTCTGTAGTGGCCATTTTTAGTGGATTAAAATAGATACAGTATTTTAAATTGGGATTAATAGTTATTTTACCAAATGTCATTAAAGCATTTCTTGGACAAGTCCAAGGTTGAGCTGTTTTATTCATAGTTATTTTACAGCATCCCATGAAGGCATATTTTTAGCATTGCTAGTCCCAGCGGGTCTTGGCTCAAAACAGATTATAGTGAGCTGCACTGTGCTGCTTTTGGGAGTCAGTTATAGCACTGTGAATTGTTCTAGGGTAAGCAGTCTGCTGTGTAAGGGAAGCTTTTAGGTCAGTGAGAAGCGTGTGAGCGCTTCACAGTGACCTTGTCACGTCTGGGACAACATGATCACTTGACTGGTTTTTGTAAAGATTCCACGAAATGGGGATTTTATTTCCTCGTCACTTGTCACCGTTGCCTGGAAACCAGTGTATCTTTAATGGTGACTTCATCCTGCACAAGTAAGTGTAAACAAAACCCCAACCAATGAGGCCATCACAGTGTTTTTTTTAAACAAACTCCACTTCTCCTTCTGTTTCTGCTTAACTGATGGTCATTGGTTTATGTCCCACCCTGACATCTTGTTTTAAAAGGAATTACATCTCATTAAGGAAGTAAAGATACTATTTCATGAGGCCACCTTTTCTCACCTTACACGCACACACTCAAGACATCTCTACATAGGCATCTGTATGCAACCACACACACACATGCATTCACACATGGACAGGGCAGGAGGTAGGGTTAGATCATGGTGATGCACTTTCACCAAGAGCTGGAATGGAGAGGCCGGGGAAAGTTATTATTCAAGTACTGAGAGTATGCCACAAAATTACAGCTTATTAAAAGTAGGTGGTAATCAATCATAGTGATTCATAATTCTATTGGATTTAATTAATTGAAGAAAAAAGCAAAAAAGGGAGGTGAGCAAAGAGCACACTTGAACACAAAACATTACCTGATCAATTACATAGTTTCAGTTATTTCTTAAGATAACGACTTCTAGAGTAACTTCTTTAGACCCATTAATCCCAGTGATCAGCCATCAGTGGAAGCCGTTGAATTAGGTATTGGGCAAATACTGCCATTAGATCTCTGCTGTTTTCTTCATTCCATCTTTTTTTTTTCTTTTTTTTTGTACACTTTCTCTAAGACCAACACCCAAGCCATTACTGACAGTTGTTCTTAATGGAGAGAAGCCTTAGCACCCTAATCTCCTTGAGGGGTCCGTCCACTCGGCCATGCCAAGGCATCTGCGGCAGGGCATTCTTTCCCTGACCCTTGGAACCATGCCTGGGTGGGAACGACAGGCTACTATCAGGAAAGAGATATGACTGGCAGCAGGCAGCCAACTCCTTGTAAAGTGAGTACATTGCATTAGTGTTTACTTTGCATTCATCTTACACTAATGTATCTAGTAAGTGTCAATAAGTCTGCTTTGCCTGAATACACTTTCTGTTTTCACTGATGGAAAGCAGCTTTGGCACAGAAATGTTTTGCCAATGAAATTATATTCAGTGCTTCAAACACTTATCTATCTGTACTACAAAATAATGAAAACTGCTTTTATTGTAAAAAGCCATTAGACATCATTACCATTAGATACTATTCAGAATAAAATTTATCCAAAATCATATGAATGAATAGAAAATGTGTTTGTTTTTTTTTTTCAAATTAATAATGAGCTCACATGAGGACAAATTTGCATTCTGCTGCTTGTTTTTAGGTCAAATACATGAAATTGCATCACAAACAGAAAAATAAAGGAGCAAATTGATTCATATTATGCAGCATGGTAAGAGTTAAGCTTTTAAGTGTGGGTTTTACATGTCCTGTGTTTGGCGTGGGATAGATGGAAAGATCTGCTGACGGTAGATAAACTCATATCAGTTGTTAGTTGGCTTTATACTGCCACATAATGAAAACATTTGTGAATTTGTTGGTGGATGGGGTCTTTGAATTCAACTCGTTTATCGTCCATAATACAAATAACTAACGAACAGGAGCACAGGAGACCACTGCCATTCTGACACTTTTGAATAACCATGTGTTTGGTATATCTCCTTTATTTGATCATTCTTGCTTCTCTGTTGGTTGAACAGTGAGAACACAGAGTGTTTGAAGTGCACATCCCTCCAGAATTACAACGTTTCCCCATTCCGCTTCATTCTGAGTCTGTAATGACCTCCTGGAAAGCTGGAAAACAAACATTTAATGTGGGAGGCTCTCTTGATCACTTTCAAAGGGAAGTGCCATTTCACTGATTCTGGCTATTGATTTCAGTAAAGTCTGCATCAACAAAAACAAAGAGAAACTGAAGCTCAAATCTGCAGCATCAAGACCTCAATTTATAACATTAGGTGACACGTCTTGAAATTGGTCCACTGATATATTGACAGTGTCTGTGTGCTCAGTGAACCTTTGTTTGCGATTTTACATCCAGATGAGCTTAAACTGAATGCAAGGCTTACAGCTGTGAATTAATGACTCTCCCAGTAAAACCACTATGGGTGTCTTAATAGTTCTTCCATTATTCAGAGCCTGTGGGGCAGCACCACAAAGACTCTCTGTATGATCTTACCACTTCAATCTCTCTCTACTGTTTTTTTTAAGGAGGGACTTTTTCAAATCAAACAAGTCTAACAATCTACAGCCATGCTAGCAGCTTTGTAATGCTGTACTGTACTCTGTATTGCAGTGGTTTAAGCTGAATGTTAACATCATCATGCTAACATGCTCACAATGAAAATGTATCATGTTTGTCATCTTAATGTAGCATGTTTGCATGCTAACATTTAGTTTGATTACACTGAGCACAAAGCACTGCTAAGGCTGATGGGAATGCCACCGGTTTTGCGGGTATTTGGTTATAAACCAAAGGGCTGGAAAAAGAGAAATTTTGACCTGGTGATGGAGATAGAAGAAAAGTTAAAGGCTCATCCAGGTTATTATCATTATCCTCTGAGGAACGCAGAATATCTACTTCACGGCTATCCAACATTTGTTAGATATTTCACTCAAAACTACAAATGTCAACCTCATGCTAGAGCTAGATGGAAAGTTAAGGGATCACCAAAGTTATCTATCTTGAATGGAACATGAATATCTGTACCAAAATTCATGGTAAGTTGCTGAGTCATTTCACTCAAAGCCAAAATGTCAGGCTCATGACAGCACAACAGCAAAAGTCAGGAGGTCGACAAATTCATTAGGATACATTGTCTGGAAACCACAAATCCATCCAGCAGATACTGAAATATTTCTGTCCAACCAAGCAACAAACCAACCTTGCCATCCCAAGATGTAACTGGGATGTAAATTTTTTTTTATTAATATAAACATATACTTTTCTCAGTTGCATTAAGACAATGTTACAGATGACATTTTTGCAACATCGTATCTTCTACTTTACATTTATTGTGGAAAAAGAAACACGTGCTTTATTAATGTTATGGTTGCATAAATGTATACTGTACTTCTCCGTAACTGATTATTCTGTACGACAGACCTGATGTAAAATTAAACCAATGATATTATTAGCTACAATTTCAAAAGAAGGCATGGATATAAAGAGATTAAAGTGACAGGTGTTTACATGGATGGAAGTGCATTAACGCTAGCTTCAGGGACCAACAGGCTACTTTGTTTGGTGGTTCTATTTGCTTTGATTGCTTGAAGGTTGCTGTGTGATGAATGACAGAATCACGAAATTATCAAGAAATGGTTTTAAAATAGAAGCATAGTGCGGTGAAACCCCATTACGTTTATGCCATGGCTGATATCTCATCCATCATTGCTCTAGGGGGGGTTAGCCCTTGTGGGGGGGGTAGGGGTAGGGTGGTCTGTCCATCATTCCCCTAACATCACATCTCAGTGTCCTAACGTTTCGGTACGATGGATGGAATGGAGAGAATGTGATGCAAAAAAGGGTGAAAGAAATGGAGGTTACACCTTTGATGTGAGTAATGGACTGTCACGTTGTAAATTAGGTCACTACCGTACACTGTGGTCCTGTTCATTATACTGAGTACATGCATGATCTGTGTACAAGTTCTGACTCAAACCCTGAGGCTGTGATGAATGAGACCTTGGCTAACCCTCCTGTGTGTCTGTAGGGAATAGGCTACTGTAGTCTAAATCACCTGAGAGTTGCAGTACAGATGTTCATGGATACAACAGCCATCAGAAACCGCATATAAGCCATGCTGCCAAGAGGGGAATCCCCATTCATCATACAGTGGTTAATATCACGTCTCATCTACGAAAGAGGAAGCAGTTCTGTGCTACACCTCATACACCTCTTTTCTCTGCTGTTCCAGGTCACTTGGTCCTCTACATCGCCTTTTCACCCTGAAGACAGATGAAGACTGCTGCAGACTCACAGTCGCAAACACTCCCGAGTCTTGCCACACTTCCACTGACCTTTTCCAGACTTCTTTCTACCAAACTTTCTTTGACTACCTCTTGGGGATGTCCTTGAAATTCAAACTGCATTCATTATTTCACCCCAAAATGCCACAAGATTCTGCAAGATCAACGAAACATCATGCTACCCCTGGGAACGACTCACTTCTTTATCAAGGCAAAAGGAAGCATGGAGGGCATCATGCCGACATTTAGAAATACGTAGTTCTGCAGAATCTGAATTAAAAGCATTTTCATTGTGCAGAATTATTGTACAGGCCCTGTGATTTTCTCCAAGTCTGCTGTAATCCTGCTTCTATACAAAGGGGAAAAAAAGACAGATGGACAGACGGACGGACGGACGGACTGACGGACAATGTCATTTGTAAAGAAAGTCAGCAACATGACACTGGAAATAAAAAGTCTTTCAAATTCTGACATGGGTTTGTCATTAGTAACATGAATGGATTACTGATCTGGCCTTGTGGGGCACAGGCCCAGGGGTGCATGGTGGCAAAATGACCCGAAAGAGACTATTATAAAAAAAAAAAACTATTAAGAAATGCTCAAAGATCATAAAGAGATGCAAAATAACTGCAAAGAAACACAAAGTGAACACGTGTTGTGTCATTCAGTCTGGATGTCTTGTTCCGATTTTGGAGGGGTGTTTGTACCCAGGAGCCAGTTTTTTCATAATCCTTCCATGATTAATAGGGTTTTCAATAAACTAATATTTAAAAGGTATTAACTCTTGGGGCTTGTAACACATTAGATTTAACTATTCATTAATGTTGGTAAGTGCCCTATTTTTGTACTGCTACAGGCCACAAACAATTACTGTATGTACTGTTTTGTACTTAACTAATAAGACATTATGCCCAGTGCATCAATGTCCAGGGAAATTACCGCCAACACCAAAGATCACAAGCTTTTAGTAACACTATAAACCCACAAATCCAGTGAAATCCAGCCAATCCAGCTGAAGACTCCCTAGTGTCACCATCCGCTGAGAGTGAGATTTCACTGTAACCTTGCCTGGGAGGGTTATGAATGAAAATTAACAGGGAATCTGAGACAGAGTGACCTCTGATCCGATTAGTATCTCCAAATCCTGTTAGGCATCCTCCCTCAAGTATGTTCATGCTCCATTCAGATTCTCAATCTTACTCTTAATGTCCTCACCTCCAATCAGCTGTGGAAAATACTCTATGTCACAGGTCAGCATGTGTACTAATCTGTGAATGCACATTGGAAAGAACCAGAAAACAAAAACCCAAAGATCCACTCATGCAAAAACACTCCTGTCTCATTATGCAATGCTACTGTAGCTACTTTCTCTCCCCTTCTTGGTTTTCTTACTGCGCATCACGCTTCATCTTCCCACTCTATCTAGAGTCTAATTACTAACGACCCTCACAAACACTGTGGCCTTGGATTTAAGAGGCAGAGAGGAGACTGGGAGATTGAATTTAATCCAGCTACGCAGGGAAAAGGTGACCTTTCTGCAAGTTAGTTTCATTTTTGTTGGTTAGTGATGCAACTGGATTAGAGAATTATTGTAGGGGATGAAGAGAGTTATCTGTGAAATGTAAGCTAAAACCTCATTCACTCACGAAGTCATCTCTTCATTCATTGATTCATTTATTCAGCTTTGGGCCTGGAAAAATGCACAGGCTAATCATCTACCTTGTCTCTGCAGGACATTAAAAGAAGCAGATCAAATCATAGGAACGTAACCTACTACATCTAGAGAGAGAGATACACTCACAGGGGACCCACCATCTGTCACCCTCGCTCTCTTGCACCTGCTTAGGAGGTGTCACACCCCCTCTAAGCTAACCTTCTGCTTGATGTCATACTAAAAGAGCAGGCGGCATGCTGGGCCAGCCTATGAGCTAGCTGTCTGCCTGTGCTTGGCATATGCTATATGTCTGTCTCCTCCTTTAACTTAGTTAATGAGCTTAAGGATATTGGAGGCCGGAATGGGTTTTATATAATAACACACAAACATACACACATACATTTACAGGCTTTTTCTTTCCATGTATACACACACACACACACACACACACACACACACACACACACACACACACACACATCATCACAAAGGCATGTTATCTGCAGACGTGTGGCACACAGACATGTTATCTCTAAGACGTGCTACTGTCAGGATCTCCATAGTGACGAACAAATCTAGCGATGTTGTTCAGCTCCATTTAAGTTGGGCCACTCACAGCAATCACAATTCACCATCAGTGCTGCACTCCTACATCAAACCTATCTAGACTTGGAAAGCCCCACTGGGACATTCTACCCACAAAGCATCCAGTACTTAAGGCTTCATGATAATTTGGGTGTCCTGTGTGTGAGAAGACTGACACAGTAATTATTTTAACGGGCTGGATTTTCTGTGCAGCAGAAAGAAGAAGAAAGAAATAAGACTGAGGTAGGAAAAATGAGGGGAGAGCATAGAAGAGAAAATAAGAAGTGAATAATTTGGCTAAAAATAGTTAGTGGCAAAAACAAAGGACACTCTAAATGCAAACCAAGACTACATTATATCTCACATGCTCACTTTTTACTTTTAGATATTAGTCTGGATCTGGATCTATCACGGTGCTACAGCTATAAAAGTCATAATTTTTCCAAGTTAGAGATCCTGAACTGTTTTTGAAGACTTGGACAGCCTAATGAGTGGCAACTGCATCCAGTCACGTTTATCAGCTGAAAAATAGCTGATCAGAATAACTTTGTCTCAGCATGTTGGCAGTGCCCCCTATAAGCAAAAGCTTATTGAGCTATGTGGGCTGGCTGTGTGAGGACAACACCTTGTTCTCACTGGATAAAAACACTGAAATTGAACAAGATTTATAGCTTGTTATAAGCTGACAACTATTAGGAAAGCAGCTGTTCTTAGTACTCCTGTAATTGCGTGTAAATACTCATTCAGCTCATACGGTATGTGTGCACTAGCCTGCTGCATTCCCACAGCTAACCAGCCAACCTGATTTATTATCAGCTTAATCAGAAATTCCATCAAAGTCCAATGAAATATAATGAGTGGAAATTACACAGTGAAATGATGATTATAGTGAAAGTGAAATCACTGCACAACCTCATGGAAATGATGGGTCCAATCCAACACTTTATATAACAGCACTGGGCTAATACACACAGGGATTTCTATTATTGGTCAGTATGTCAAGAGAAAGATTAATGAGTATTGTTTATATTGTATTGTATTCATGTGAGTCAAGAAGTCGACACACTGCTATGAAAAGGTCAGTAGTGGGAGTATTGAGAATGTTGTAAATGTTGACACAAAGAGAAGAAGATGAGAACAAACAGGTGAAGATGCAAGAGGAGGACATCAGAAAGGTCAGCTAGATAAATGTGGACAGGTCCATCATACAGTGTGGGAAACTATGTTGACCGTACAAAGAAAGGGGGTGGTGCATCAGGATCACATGTAGGTTCTGCCAGTACTGACATTTGGCCTTTTTCCACTGCATGGTACCAGCTCAACTCAACCCTTTTTGTTTCCCATTGGACAAAAGTTTTAGATGGTACCTGGCACCTTGTACTTTTTTGGTACGAGGTGACATGAAAACACTGCAGGTTACCGATTGGTCAGAGAAAATCATCACTACTGCATCAACATTGTGCAAGATGGGACATTCTGAGGAAACCTATCATTCTGAAGCAGCCAAGTGACTGCACACCGCTCACTGTAGCCTCTTACATGTCTGTTAGTTACTGTACAATACTTTTAGTGGCAACTTGTGAAAGCATGAAGAGGTGCAGAGGTTTCTCTGATTGGTATCTTTTCTATATTTCCCATTGTTCATGTGTGTGTTGTGTTGGAGATGACCTCATGTTCACTTAGTGCATCATCGCTATACTATAACAATGCCATATTTAGGGGGTACTATCTGCAGTGGAAAAAGAAGTACCTGGTACCAAAAGCAAGAAGAGTGGAGTAGCGCAGAGTGGAGTTGAGTCGGTGTAATAACGCTAATTAATTCTAACATCAACTGTACTAGTTAAAATACAGAAATAGCACCAATACTCCAGCTTCAAGAAAAGAAACCATCTGATTCATCCTACACACACAGACAGTGTCACTTTAGAAAGACTGGTACAGAACCCCACACATGCCTTAGGACCAAACTTACCACTTGGTGGCGTGTGCGATGGTAGGGCTGAATGATGGGTAAACCCAGGGGTGTCACCCACTCCACAGTGTGGCCAGACTTGGAGATGAGCCTGGCGCTCTCTGTCAGCCAATCCTGCAACAGATGGATGTCAGCGGAGGTAAAGTGAGGGCACGCACTGGATCGAGGAGCATACTCAGAAAAATATCCAAAGCATTTCACCACCACGAGTGTGAATACCTGCTTATTTGTTGTGTTTATAAGTATGAATGAGTGTGTTTATGTGGACATCAGAGCAATCAAGTTCCACTCAGTGAGTTCAAATCAGACGGCTGGCTGATGAAGTCTTTAGTTTCTGTTGGCTCAAGGACTTAATAAATCAGGCTATGGATATGGAGCAATTGTAACAAAACAATCCCCTCCACAGTATCAATAGATACATTTGAGTCTGATGCTCTTCTTCAAGGAACTAGCAAACAATTGTTGCAAACTAGGGAGTTGTTGCTTATTCCAAAAATTGCAAGAGCAACAGTGCTGTTTGGCACAGTTTCTCTCCAAGAATGGAAGCCATATTAATGTCCCACAAGTGCCTCCTCACACACACACACACACACACACACACTGAGCTGTAGGAAAGATAAATAAATCCTAGCAACTCGTGGTGGCAGTCAGGCCCAAAGCTGCTCCATTCATCATCACCTGCCTCTGTATATCCCCGGCACAATGAAAAGAAGATAGCATGAAAGCAAAGAAACAGGAGTGAGAGATTAACCAGAGAGATTGCCAGAGAGATTGACTGATCAATCAATAGATTGATAAGAGGCAGACAGAGAGGAAGAGTAACGAGTGGACAGAGATTTAAAGGGAATTAATAGCAGTGTTGACAGATTAAATGGGAAATGTGCAGAGAATATAGGAGAGGAGGTCAGGGATGATCAGCTACCTCTCTCTCATTCATACCTCAACTCACCCCTGTGAAATGCAAGAGGATGTGACCTATTTAAAAGAAGCAGGTGAATACACACAAACACACACTCGCACAGAAACATTAGGTCGCCACTGAGGTATGATGGGAAGGGGATTATTCATCTCAGACTGGGTCGTCCCCACACATTCCCCAAAGGACACACATGCCAGCAGTGGGCGGTGTTTCTATTAATTCGTCAGACTCCTCTCTGCCCGTGGAGGTAATGTCGAGTCTCCGACCAGGTGCATGTTCTACATCTATAAATGGAGTCTATGGGAGGAATGGGTGCAATTGATAGGATAAGAGTGAGGTAAAGTAGTCATTAATAACAATAAAATAACATCCTATATGCAGTAGTAGGTCAGTAGTCAGAAATGGGAGTAACACTTTAGTCTAGGGGTCTGTAATTACATAATAATAATTTCCCAGGTTTCCTCAAAAGAAAAATGAAATGAGGTATTAATTAAACTAAAGTATAAAGTTCTGGTATTTCAGTAATTTTAGTTAAAGTGTAGTTGGTTGCTTTGAGTTTGATTTCAAGGCAAATTTCTTTGGATAATCAGATCAATGTAAACTCAAGTAAATATGGATATATTATTGGAAACTTTGTTTCTTCATTTACGTTTGCCAGGAGTTTTTAATTAATTAATGTAATTTTTTTCACCTTTCTGTGAGAAACATCATAAGAGGTTATTAGGAAAAATGACACAGAAATCACAGACAACTAAATTAAACCATTACCAAAATGGATGTTAAGATATACTGTATCATCGTGGACATGGGGAAAAAGTTTGAAGACCTATGTAACTGTGCATTGTGTTTCGTGATAGGCGACTGTATGTTTGCTTAATACCGGAATGGAAATACTATTTACTGCATGTGTGAGTATATTCTAGAGAAAACAAGAGAACTTTAACGTAATAAATTTACTGAATGTCAGACTTGTAATGCAATTAGCAACACACAAGTTTGAGTGTATATTGGTGATGATGTGTTGGGTGACATAATTGCATGCATGTATCTGACTTTATACAGTTGTAAAATGAACTCACCTGGATCTCTCTGGTCCCTGTAAACATCTCCTTTAAGCCACTGAACACCAGTCGCACCAGGTAATGGGATGCATCCCATACATGCTCCTGGAAAAACAACACATAATTATTCTGGTGTATTCATATCCTTAAACGCACTTCACTTTTTTGCTCCACTGCATTTCTAAATGAACACAATTTAATACAAGTAATAATCAATAAATTTTTTACTTTTTTATTAAATGGACTGAATGTATAATGTATATATATGAGAGAGATATGACCTCCCCCTCAGTGGGAGCTGCCTCACCCTGCCCATCCACCCCCTGTAATCAGTCACAATTACATTTTCCCCCAATTCCCTGTTTAAAGAGTGGCTGTGCGGTGGATATCAAATATCATACCTATTGTTATATTACACTCATGGCCTCCCTGATTCAACCATGCCATATTTTATTTCACTGCGATAAGATAATATGTAAATAAACCTGACTAAAACAAGATTTAAAAGCTTCTGTTCTTGGTCCATGCAGCGGGGACTCTTCATGTCAAGGTCAAACTTACTAAAATCCCTTTGAGTACATCATCAAAATGCCTTCATACAGATGCAGAGGACAATGGAGAGGAGGACAGATCCCAGTAGAGAAGACCTTGTACTTCATTCCAAGTCCATCTGGGCTCAATGTGTGTGGAAATACACTCTATGTATAGCATGAGAGGAAAGTGTAACGAGAGTCCCATATAGAGGAGATCCTGTGCTAAGAGGCCAGTTTGTCATGCCACGCTGACACAATGCTAAAAATAAAACAGTACACTGTGTGAGGGGAATCCCCTCAGCCTCCACCACCACCCTCCACTACCCCTGTACCTTGGGGAACTCATCAATCTCCTTCAGTCTTTTCTCTATCTGGAGGCGTCCTCCATAGCGTGTGACCCCGTACACCACAGTCATCACCGTCTGTTTGACCACCTTCCTGCTGATGAAGCCCTCCAGGACCTTTGCAATCTTTAGGCCATTCTCTGCATCCCGTGCTCGGAACTCCTCCACCTGGAACAAACAGATGGCCGTGTTGCAGGTACTTACACACACGTTTACAATTTGTATGAAACATAATTGCAAATGATGAACAGCTTTTGTTCAAAATGTGTCTTTTGGTGGAAATTTTGGTGGAGTATTTTCACTAGGGCTGTAACTAATATTTATTTTCATTGTCGATTAATCTGCCCATTCTTTTCTTGATCAACCAATTCATTGTTTGTCTATTAAAATGTAAAAAACACTGACTCCCAGTCACAGTTTCCCAAAAGCTAAATTGATCCCAACAAATGTCTAGTTTTGTGTGAGGCAGCTGCTCATTATTTGCTGCTGATCAGGGAATAGATTGATCAACTAATCGTTTCAGCTCCTAGTCCTTACACGATCTCCAATAAAATGACTGTTGCCACTGTTGCTTGTTGTACAGCTTATCTTTGCGAGTAAACAAGATTTATTTTCCCAGGTAGCTTGCTATTTCACAAACCTGATACAGTATCATCTAACAATAACTGCAATACCCAGAGGTAAAAATACAAGACAGATAAGTGTCCTGCAGCAAACTGCACTCCAATTTCAGTCACCGCCCCAGTGCACTGACAACTCCACACAACGTCACCTCACAATTAACTTCAAATTGTTTCCCCCTAAAAAGAAACATGTTCACAGCTAGCTGTTTCTGCTGATAGCATTGTATGCACACTTGCCCTTTGAGCCTTCGGCTGCTCTCGGCTCTCACTGCACGCTGATGCAAGGCATGAAAAACTAAGCACTTTTCAAAGCAAGGCCTAAAGTGAGAAACCTAGAATATATTCCCAGTCTGTAACTCACTACGGGATGGTGAGTCATCTTAATGTTAATAGCTGAGCAACTGCAACGTGCCTTACAACTGAATTCAACCACAATTCAGTTATCTTGTGCACCTTTCAAGTAAATGCATTTCAAAGAAGAGGAACAAAACAATGAAAACTAAAAACAGCTCACTGCTGCTGACCTGCTGTGCTACTCCGCTGTACACGTCCTGGGGCACATCACAAGGCATGAGGTTGACTGATGTGGCACCAATAACATCTCTGCCTAGAGCGGCGTAGTGCTGGAGACCATTACAGGAGCCGTCCTGTACGAGAGGTGGAGAGAAGGAGAGGGAAGATTAAAGCAGTGATGTGGAGGAGTAGAAAACAGAGACAGAAAAAGAATTACAGAGATCAGCACAGAATGGGAGGGCAGCACAGGGAGAAGGGTTAAAGGTGAACAAAACAAAGAACAGATGAGAGAAGAAGAGAGTAAAAGTGAAGGAATAACAAAGAATAGAAGAAAGAGAAAACAGAAACAAAGGAGAAACGGTAAGATGAAACACATGAGCATTGGCTCAATAGATGAGAAAAAAGATCTGGTTGAAGCTGTTTAGCGCAGTTCATAAAAACATATCACCATGTCCCACAGCCCAAAGCAACAGAGTGACTTTTGCACTCATTGCTAGACAATCAAACCATCTGTGAGCATCATTCAAAGCAACATCTAGATTGGTTTTGGCATCAGACGAGGGAAAGAAGCAATGAGTGAGTACGCAATTAGCTGATGAATTGGTCAATCAAATCATCTTTTTTTTCTTTTTTTTGGTCATTCACAATTAATTAAAAATAAGTGGTCAATTTCATTATGTCACTGTTTTTTCTGTAGGGTTGCACATTGTCCCAACTGATATATACTGCTTTTTGCTGCTGACCACACTGAGCAGTTTAAATGAGATTAGCTGTATGTGGGTACCAGTGACATAGCCATTATCAAATTGCAAGACAGGATGAAAGTCTAATATACACGAGGATGGTTGCATCTGCATGGTGTTTTTCAGGCATTCAGTGAGCGTAAGTGACAATTAAATTCTGTAACTGCAATGAAGAGCTTGACACAAAATGACAACTTTTGGCTATTTCGATTCTTTCCTTTATCCGTTTATCTAAAAGGGGGAGTGCACATTCATTAACATCAATATGATGTAAATGTGTCGGATTAAGCCAAAGGCTAATTTTCATCTACAGTCCTTGAGCAGGTCGAAGTTCAAACGGCTCGTGAGGAGGAGGTGCTAAATTCTCTGCGCCTAATTAATTACTCTAATGTCTGTTTAAATCTAACAACTGTTCTGTGCTTTCACATTGTGCTATAGCCCAGAAGCCCAGAGTCAGGGAAATTATTGCCACTTGCATTATTTGCTTCTTTTTTTTAATTTTTTTTTAAACTGGTGCGCTGTAATAGAATTTGCCATGATAATTTTCAATAATTTGTTTGGTATAATTAGTATAAAAATCACTATATGTAATCTGCATTGCTAAAAGTAACAGGAGGTATTTTCTTAAGTGCCACATAAAAGCTACATTATAGCAAGACTATTAACAAGGCCCCGAGGTGTAGACCATGTTGCATTAGTCTAAAAAATTATAAAAGCATCACATTATGTTTACATGAGTAAATCCCTGAATTCCTGGGCTACATAGTATAGCAAATAGTCAACTAAAAGGAAGCCTATTCTAGAGGGTTAGTTTGTTGCTTTAGTTTGTGGAAGAGACGGCCAGATCTCAGCACAGGATAGCTCAAGCTGTGGTCTGATCTGTAAGATTAGCACTACAGGTTAATGACATATGACATAAAATAGCCCCACATGGCTTGGGAGGTCTCGGCTTGTTAACTTTGATGTGCCCTCGAAACCAGCACTATAAAACATGACTAAATGACACACCATATTTTTAGGAGCCTATAAACTAGAACTACAATTGGCCTAAGGTATTCTCAGATGAGTAAATTCCTAAGAATAATCTGTTCTAATCATTTTACATTTTTCATTTCTGTTTCACCTGAATAAAGAATAATTAGTTTATCTTCAAATTCTTATCTTCATGTCTTATTAAAGAACACATTGGTCAGAGATGGACTTTGTGATTCAAATTGCTACGAATCTCTCTAAACACATAAATAATTCTTTCATGTGTTAAATGGTACCTGATGAACAGGAAAATGAGAGATGAACTGTGTTGGATTGGGAGATCTCACAGCATTGGCAATCTCCATGCAGCAGGCTAGAGCCTGCCAAGGCTCATCTGCATTCATCCACCAATTCTTACCCTGAGAAGGAAAATCACAAGCACATGGCACATCTTTGTATATCTTTCAGAGATAAGTGTGTGTGTGCATCAGTGAGCTTTACTATGAGAGATTTTTACAAACAGCTAAGAAGTTCTGACAAGAACTGCTATGTGGAACTATGAATTGCATGCTATCAATGACCAGCAAAGATTACGAAAGATCGACTGACATTTAGAGGGTTGTCGGCAGAGTCCAGTATGTCCTCCATGAGAGTGTTGGCATACTCCAGCCGTCCCTGTAGTGAGCTACTCTTCTTTAACCCTGTCAGATTGACTAAGTGGATCTTTAGCCAGTCCAGGCCCTTGGGACCGAGGGGCTTCCCTTCTGCAAACACGAGGATGGCCCGAGTCACATCGCTTCCGAGGTGATTTAAGTATGGGGGGCAGGGATAGGTACGTCCCCTGAAGTCCATGTTGTGAGGGAACCAGAAAATATCATCCCGCATGTGGTTGGCGATGGAGAGTTTATAGAGAGCATCCATACGTAGGCTGTGCATCTCACTGCATTTCTTTTTGGCATTAATCACCTCTCTTTTTATGTGGGCCTTCTCAGAAGCGGTGTAAGTGGGATCTTGGGGGTTGAAGTGGGGTATTTTGGGGGCCTCTGACAGGGGGGGAGGGATGTCTAGCTTTTCACTACCCCGATCATTGAAAACGGAAATAATAATATCCAACAGGGGTTTGTTGATCCTCCAGGCACAGTTGCCCAGCTGGTTGAGAGAGTCCAGGACTGCATGGAGGTTCTGTGATTTCTCCAGCAACACCTCATGTTGGGTGGCCCCATCCACTGAGCGCATCAGCTTGGTTGGTGTCAGCAGATAGGCTCCAAACTTGACAGAAGTCCAGGGCACAGGAGGGCACACCATCGGCATCACGTAGGAGTCAAAGGTCAGCTTGGTCTCCATGGCTTCCTGCTGCATCTGAGTGAGGATGGGGTGGGGCTTAATGAAGCCGACCTGGTGGGTAAAACATCAGGAGAAATACAATCAGAAACCTCAACTGAGCAGACACAAGAAAAAAAGAAACAGTCGCTCTTATAAGTTTATTTTAAAACCAGTTTATGGTTAATCATGACAGAGCTTAGCTAATTTGATGAAGTGTTAATTCTGATAAATATATACAAGTAGATACGCTAAATATTTGGACATCTGTTTCCTAGCAGTTTAAATTCTAATTGACAAGAAGAACAATGAACAACCTCTGCACTGAAAAGTGATATCATTCCTGTATACCAGCACCACTGCCATCCACAAAAGACTCAGGTAGGCAGCTGTAGCTCCATGAATCCATGAATTATGTAAAATCCTGGTTCGTAGCAGGATAGCAGATGGATATCAACATGTTGCTTTGACGTCAAAGAATTATTATTATTACCATTAACGCAACACATGTAAAGCATGTATTGCTGGACATAAAGACCATCATAAGGAAAAAATACAGTAACCTGACAGAAAAATAAAACACCTCAGTATTGCTTGCATGAGTCAGACGGTCGTGCTGTGTTGTAAAATCATTAGAATGCTCCCCTGATGGGCTAACCTCCAAAGAGAGACAGGAAGAAGAGGGGGCAAAGAGAGAGAGATGAAAACAGAAGAATAAAATTCTGCTACAGTACATCCCTCTTCCCGACACAGTCGCCTCACCCTCCTGCGGGGTCCCATGGCACTAAATCAGCGAGCCAATTAAGGGGACACTAAAAAAGGGATTATTCTGGAACCTATTCATCTTACTCAACTGTTCCCCCTGCCAATTCACACGAGGAGAAAGGGTCTTATAATTCACACTCTTTGGAGCATCACACTGGATAGGAGGTTGCTCAAGTGGTCAAGGTAACAGGCTTTCGAATGACACTCTTCCTGTCCAAAGTGAAGGTCAAGGGTTTTCATGTATTTTTTCTTTGTTTCTAATCCACTATGCTTCTTTTCTCATTAATGCAAATTTCGACTTTACAACTTCTTGAACTTGATCATTCTTTTTTTAGTCTCAAGACTAATTGTGTGTAATTTTCAGTCATAATGAATACAACACTGATGGATGCTCCTTGTTATCAACAGTTTTCTTATTTTTTTACTTTGAATCCTTTCAAATACTTATATACTCAATATTAGTTCACAGGAGATCCTCCAAAGTCTAATCCTTCACCATTTTTTCCAAATAAATCTCAGTTGAAAGGATCTTTTTTGGTCTGGGTTAATGCTCAGGAATCCTGTTACCAGGTTATCAAAGGTATTTAAATTCTCTAAGATCAGGATCTGAATGGTTTTATCAGAGAGGCCAAGGGACCCTAAGAACCCAAAGGACTTGTGTTCATCCCTCCGTGTCAGAAGAATCTGCCTTGCATTTTTGGCAAGGCTGCTTTAATAGAACTGCTACCAACTCTGGGGTTGCTGACCATGTGCTCCTTTGATATCCCTGCAGAACAAACCAAGTTGCACTTGGACAGATTTGCACATCCACTGTACCTGTCGGGTGCTACGGAAGGTGTACATGTGGTAGAGGATGGGGATGAGCTTCCTGTCGTAGGCCGGGTTCAGGATGTCGCTATTAATTTTGAGGTTCTTGACCATCATATCGACCAAGTAAGTGCCCAGCTCCAGAGTTATTATGTATGGCCAGCTTGTCTTTCCCCCATGTAGCATTGGTCCTGAACTCTGCTCTATCTCCAGATTACACCACTGCTCCCTGGGAAGGACGTCATACTCCTAGAGGGAGAGGAACAGACATGGGTTATATTCATTTAGTGATTTGAATATTTTCCTCAAATGAAAAATAACATGTAGTATGATTACAGTAATATCTTGCAAAAAGCAAAGAAATTGCAAGTCTTAAAAAAATATAATAGAGGACTTTAAATGGGTTGGAAAGGGTATGTAAATATCTAAACATTTTGTCAAACAGTCACTGAAAATAAAAAAAAATTGCTTTCATGTCTTCAGAAAAATGAAGCAGATTAATCTTCCTATTATTTTCTCAATTGATCAATTAATTATGTCGTCAAAAAAATGACAGAAAATAGTGTTTCACTGAGTCAAGGGTGCCAGCTTCAAATCCAAATATACCCAATATATATATATATATATTATATAACCCAAATATATTCAGCTCACAAAAATGTAACAAGAGAAAAACAGAAAATCTTCATATTAGAGAGGCTGAAAACAGCAAGTTTTGACATTTTTGCTTCAAAAATGGCAAATTATCAATTGATTATCAAAGTAGATGCAGAATATTTTTCAAATAATCAACTAATCATTGCAGCTGTACAGGACACCAAAGGGAGAGAACCTTCAAGAAGGCAGGCAGGTAGGTAGGTGGTATCATAAACATTTTTTGGTCAAGGAGAAAGCATTGTAATACAATCTCAATAGCATGAACCAGTTCAAAGCAAAAGCTGGATGAGTAGAAACTACAGAAGTAAACAACACAGCATCTTGCACACACAGTGCAACAGCATTAAGCAACAAAAGCAATTCATTAGACACTAGGTATGTGGTAATAGTCTAACCAGAGGTGAGAGACAGTTTAGTCAAACATTTCTAGTGTTTAGCTTTCAAATGGATGCATGAAAACGTAAATGAGTAAAGTGAGAACTCAGACTAATGTTTGGTGTCACAACAACAATTAAAAACACCATAACAGGCATTAATTCAACTACAAAGGCGGCTTGTAAAATAACTTGCATAAAACAAACACCTCAACTAACATCTATTCTAACTAGCTGCTGGAGTATAATGAGCTCTTGCTCATTATCGTCTTGATGACATTAGCATTTTCCCCCGTGTACCAGAACCATCAAAACACTAGTGGAACACTGAGTCAGTGATTCTGGCTATAAAATTCCACTGAGGAAAGACAGTCCTTTGTTTCACTTAAAAAATAATGAGCAGCATGTCAATGAGCTGGTGAGCAACATCAATGCAAAGATCCACCAGACTTCATCAGCTGTCAGTTGTTAATCATTTGTCTTACAACTCAAGTTAATTCATTTATTTCTATATTTTTCTGCCGATGTTCAGGGCCTGCCATGATTTCTCCAAAATCTATGCAGGCTACACGTTTAGCTTTTATAGTTACAATGCTGCATATTATGTTATTTTTTTTGTCCCTTATTGCAACATCAAGTTATCTGAGTGAGAAATTGCTAATCGCAAATAATGCACATGAGAAGAGCACATAAAGACACACATCAGGAGCATCATTAAATAAGTAACATGTAATTTCTCTACCTTAGTATCTTTGGCCAGCAGCTCTGTGAAAGTGTTGTAAATGTTGCCCAACTTTTCCAACGTCTGATTCTGGTGTTTCTGTCCCACAGAGTATTTGGTGTAGACCCTGTTGCCCAGATCTCCGGCTAAAATCTTCAGCGACTCTCCACTGGGAGGTAGGTTAGCAACACTCTGGACAAGAACAGGACACAGTTCAAAAGGTCAAGCAGGTGAAAACAGCAAAAAAGGCTGTTTGAAGCTTCCGTCAGATCTGGTTTAGTTCAATAAAAAAGAAAGCTATCCTTCAGTCAGAGGGGAAATCAAAGTGAAAATGGTTGTTTCAGAAATCACATCAAACCCAGTGAATGTGTTCATGTAGGAAGCAAAGGTATCTGATCAAAAGCTCACTCCACTTTGCTGCCAAAGATAAAACCTTATGCTTTTCCAGGTGTTGTCACTGTCAGCGACTTGATTTGTGTTTTGTGGTTTCCCAGACCGGTCAGGTCGTATTATACAACAGCAATGTCGAGAAAACAAAGGAGTGATAACGTATGACATAACTACACGTCTTTTTTTCACGTTGTAGTAAAATAAAGTTGTCATCAATCAAATGCCTTTGACTCAAACACAGACAAGTCTTTGTTAAATCCCCGATTTTCTGGCATTTCATTGAGCGGTAGGCTGGGTTAGGTGGGTTGTATTACCTGTAACATGATGTCAACATACTCCCTATCTTCCAGCAGACAGAGGTAGGGATAAAGGTTAAGCCTGTAGTCCTTGGTGTTGGTGTTCGCCAGGATCGTCTTGCTCTCCCTCAGGGCCTGAAGGAGGATCTTCTGCCACTGAGCCCGCTGCTCAGCCAGCAGCTCCCTCTGAAAGGACAACACATGTGTAAGTCATCCATCTCATGACTGTGACTGACAGCAGGGAACCCTTGAAGGATGTGTCAAATAAAATGACCAATCCTGCAGAAATCCTTGTTCACCACATGCTGCACGGTCCAAGTGGAAAGTCATTATAAATTGTGAAGCAGTCGATAGGGCCACCTCTCACTGGACACAAGTTATTGTGCAACATGATCGTGAATTCCATTCGATGGTTAGGTTTGTTTAGCCCCGGTACCTCTAAATGACAGGGAGAAAACAAACTTAAAACAACTGGACCACATACTTCTTCATCTAAGAATGAAACGGGATGTAAAACCTATTTTACTTTACTCAGAGGTGTGGCCTAGGAGAAGGGTTTGTAGTTCAGATAGATACATTTAACCAGTTAATAACCATTTGTCGTTTTCATTCCCATGGACTGAGGTTAAGGAATAGTTGGACAACTACTCCTTTAATATCAAAATGATAAATTCTACTTTGGGTCTTTTTAGCAATGCTTTGCAGAAAGTGTCACTGATTTAAATGATCCACCAACTGATGTGGCTAAAGACAAGAAAAGACGAGAAAATTTCACTTTACTACGAGCTCATTTTCAGGCTAGCACTCCATCTGCATTGGATGACATCCATCCCTGTTCCTGAAAAGAATACCTCAGCTGTGATGGCTGTTATTTTATTCATTATTACAAAAGAACAGGCTATATCATTCATTCAATCATTCATTCATTTTCTACCGCTTATCCTCTAGTAGGGTCGTGGGGGGGGCTGGAGCCTATCCCAGCATCCTTTCGGGCGAGAGGCGGGGTACACCCTGGACAGGTCGCCAGTCCTTCACAGGGCACACAGAGACAAACAACCATTCACTCTCACATTCATACCTATGGTCAATTTAGAGTAACCAATCAGCCTAGTCCCCATTTGCATGTCTTTGGACTGTGGGAGGAAGCCGGAGTACCCGGAGAGAACCCACACAAGCACGGGGAGAACATGCAAACTCCTGCTATATCATTTGATCTAATATAAAGTGAAAATTCACCGTGGCTACAAGATCTTAACGTCTCTTCCTTCATTTGCTCAGTGAAGGTTTGGATCAACTATCAAGACTTAATATATGGCTATATCATTTGATCTAATATATTAAGTCTTGATAGTTGATCCACACCTTCACTGAGCAAATGAAGGAAGAGACGTTAAGATCTTGTAGCCACGGTGAATTTTCACTTTCAATTAGACTTAGATTGTGCTCTCATGTTGTGGTACATATTCAGTGTTTTGAATGAAGGAGAAAATCGTTTTTTGGGCCTGCAGTTAAGGCCACAACTGATATTATCATTACTTGTATTTTAGGCAATTTTAAGAGAAAAGGAGAATGTGCATCCCCAGTTGGGAGGTAAGCAGGTTTGTTCAGGTATATACATGTACCTGTGAAGGTATTGTGATATATGTACATTCTGTGCATGACTGTGTGTATGTGTTAGTGTTCACTCTTCAACTGAAGAGTTTTACTCAGTGTGACTGAAGCAGAGACACAGTCTGGAATGTGGATGGTGAGGTGACTCTGCGTTGTCTCCGGTGGCCTCCATTACAATACATTATTATTCTGCCCTGCCAGTCTGTAAATGCTTCCTGACCACCAGGGACCCTCAGTCTGCTCGCTTCCCACGAAGCCCATCTGCAGAGTCAGACGAGCCAGGCTGGACTGTAAATGCCAGAGTTGGAAAGAAGGCACACCACAGGAATATGATGTTTCTTCCTCTAACCTGTCAGACCCTAAATTCACATTATTTTAAAGTTTAGGTCAGAGAAAAAGAGAAACTTTACTCATATGAGACAATGCATAACCATAGATGTTAAAAGTATGAAAAGCATGTTAAATGTAAATAAATCAGCACTTTGTAAATGATCATATATTACTGTAATTACTCCAAACAAAGCAGAATACTGCCAAGATGATATACACCCACTAGAGTCTGTATCTTACATTGTGTGCCAGCACATTGGGCTTTGCAGGGAATCTGCAGCCTCTTTTGCAGTTTAAAGGGACAAACTTACAGCAAAAAACAGGAAGATAACTGATGTGTTTGTGTTTTCTTTTTAACAGGAAGCAACTGCGTTTTTAGGAGATGTGAAAACAAAAAACATTGCATAAGCTTCAACACTATTGTAGACACAGTGTTTCAAAATGAATCTGACAATAATAAACAGATGTTTAAAAACACTGTATGCTGTACATGTATATTTCAGGAAGAAAATGGCTGCATCTAGATTTTAAGATTAAACCCTAAAACATCTGTTATCAACAACTAAATCTTCTCTATGTCACAACATGTTAGTAGTTTCAGCATCACTGACCCATAAATCTAAAGTCTGTACTGAAGATGACATGAAGACAAAGAGAGGCAACAGTTGGGTCTGTTTACCATTTTGGCCATGTTTTCTGTGACAGGCTTGGCACCCTCCACAGAGTCGATGGTGACAGTGCAGGCCCGCTCCACGCTGAGCTGACGTTTGAATCGCTCACGGAGCTCCTCCCGAGTGAAGTCCAGTTTGGGGTAGTGATGGTCTGCCCTCTAAAACACATGAAATACAATTAAGTTAAGTTAAGTTAAGTTAGCTATGCCAGTGTTTGCATCTCTCCTCTCTTACACTGTCCGTGCAAACCCTGCCCTCACTCGCACACAATTTCTCCTGCAACATGGAGGGAGACACAGCGCCTGGCCACACAATTTTTCATGTACATGTTGATATGTTGTCCAGCTGTAAATTTTCAAACAGGGTAGCCCTCTCTTAGTTTTTGCTTAGCTGAATGTTTTGTTAAGCATGAGAGGAAAACCTGTAATTTAGTTTAGTTTACTTTAATTTATGGTCTGTTATAGTTGAAAACAACTGAATTCTTAATTATCAGAGATAGGTCTGTTATTATTTTATATTGGGTATTTATTCTGTATAATTTTTCATTTACATGTTTTGCAGCTGCATATTTTCAAACAGGGAAGGAAACCGTGTCTTAATATTCTATTGTGATCACAGTCTGTTTTAAGCCCTTGTGACATCTCATATGCGTCTTTGACATTTGGCCCACTATGTAGAAAATACAGAGATACAGAGATATGATTTTTGGTCCATATCACCAATCCTATTATTAAACCCTATCACACATACAGATATTGCATACAGAGAAGGATGAATGAAAATAAATCCAGCAAACATTGTGGTCTATAAAAGTCAATATTGGTCAGAAATGGTCTGAAATACAAGTATACACACATACTTGTATTTCAGGACATTTCTGGCTTAGTGAATAAACTTGTAACAATCTTAGCACAATGCTAACACACCTCTGTTATGCTGCACTTAAAATCCTGCCAGAACATACTGATTTGCTCTGGCCAAGTTACCTACTAAGCAAGCAACCTGAGAGACAATGTCTTGCTAATAGAAATAAAATGTGCTTTAAAAGTCAAGTCTTGTTTAAAGAAATGGTGACCTTGCCAATGCAATAAGACCTCTGGATATTATCTGTGCACATCATAGAAGGGTTGTACGCATGAGCAGATGCAGTACAGCTGTACGAACATTTATTATCTCATAGACAGCAGGCGAGATACAGTGGATTGTAAATTAGGCCTCAGAGAGACAGAGCATGGACAGCAGCCAGAGCAAAGCTTAAGGTAGCGTGGCACATAAATTGCTCACCAGACAGCTCTTGTACAATATTAGAACTTTAGAACAATAAATGGGCAAAAAGGCTAACACTTCGTTATCAGCAGACCGGGATGAAATCAAAAGATAGCTGCTGAAAAATGTGCTGGCATGATAATTTTGAGAAGAACAAACTTGCAGCTTGTGAGGTACAAAGAAAAGTGAAAAGCTCCATAGAAAGAACTGTGTTGCAATATTGTAAGAGTAAAGCTGTGTGATTTTATTTGAATACTTCATGCAACTGAATGAATTCAAATTTCTCAACCTATAAAAAAAGTGACTATGCTAATGAAATGTGCACACATACAGTACATTTTCCTGATGTACAAATAGAGAACACCCCACAATCTCTGACGACAAGCTGAAACTAGATCAAACTGCATTTCGTACGATCTACAGCTTCATCAAAATTCCTTCTCTCACCAACAAACAATATTCTAATTAGATTGTGGTTCTGCTCCTAACACTGATTGAAAATCCTCCAGAGACCATCCAGCCAGCTACTCTGTTATCCGGTGGACCAGTTATTTGGACAGTCTTTCAGTCATTAAATCAACCTACCAAAAAGTCACAGTCATAGTCAGATAACCGACTAGTTAGTCAGCCTTGAAAATACAGTCAGAGGCAATAGTAATGGAGCAGTCACATTTGAGCTGTTTCAAATGTCAGAAAGTGGCATGGTTTCACAAATTTTCTTTATATAAAAATACATGACCTTCTGATTGCTACCATCACACACACAGGCCAACACTAAGATAAAGACGACCAAAAATATGTCACTCAGACGAAGATCAAAGTAATTTTGGTGCAAGGACTGAACCTAAAAATACTGCAATTGTACGAAAAGCTGTTAATGAATCATGTGAGAATCAGGAGGCGAAAGGAGGTGGGAAAAAGTGAGGAGAGGTGAGAGGAGGAGAGGCAAGGAAAGCGGAGGACCCATTAGAAAGCAAAGTTGGCTCACTTTAAATAGGCCAGTGCCTGTCTGGCTGTGAATAGGGTGACAATCAAATCTTTCATAGTCACGCTAGAGCTTTCTGACAGCTTTCCCAGCTTTCTGGTGATTCCACTGGCAAAACATACAGAAGACTCAGCCTTAAAAATAACTTATCTGTATTTATAGTCATACAGTGTCACTTTTTTAACATAAAGTCCCACTTTGTGTTTAAATAAACTCCTAATTTCCATCAAGATTTTTAACACTGCTGATATAATAAAAATCCATTCTTTATGAAATGAGTAATTGCCTTAAACGCCTTATAATACATCACACCCTTTTAAGGAAAGAGTGTATATGGCTGATTACACCAAAAATGCAGTCTCTGCTGTCCCAACATAAGCAAGTAATGGTCTCCACTGACATTGGTTTAAGATAATTTAAAGAACAAAGACCAGCCCAAGACACTTAAATGGCAGTTAACTCCATTATATCAGCTCTGGTGACGTCAATGGAACAGTAGGTCATCTTATTTTCTGTGGACCCAGCAGAGACCAGTCTATCAGCAAACAAGTATCCTGATGTTAAGGCATAATCTGGGACAATAGTCCACAATAATGACTTTAAATTTTCTCTATTCAGTCTAGCACTAATAATGATACATACTAAAGCCCATTTAAGCTCATCCATTTTTAAATGCTCCAAAACTGCCAGATCTACTTCCTGAGGAGGCTCAGGTCCTTCAATCAACCATCATCTAAACTGTGTTGTACTGAGAAGGAGGTGTCACAGCAAAGGACGCCAACAGACTGAATAAACTTATGAAGTAGGCTGGTCTGTCATTTGATCCCAGCTGGTCACTTGACATGTTAGTGAAGCTTAAGAGCACCTTTAGCGACAGACTTATTCCACCTTGGTGTGTAATGGAGTGATACAGGAGACACATTTGTGCCAGGTGCTATCAGACTTTTCAGTTCATCTGCTTCTAATGCATCTACTTTGCTCTTTGCACGTTATAATATTGACTGTATCTGGACATTATCAATCTTCAGCACTTTATGCCTTTAACTGTACCTTATTTATAAATGGATCATCAGTCAATATCACCACTTATCCATTCATTAATGTTTCTGCTTATTCATCTCAGCCACTGTGTTCATGTATCTGTTAACATTTGTATTTTAATGTATCTTGCTGCTATTTAACTTCAGTCCAGGGATTATTAAAGTCATCCATCCATCCATGCATTTATCCGATCCACTGGTATGCGTGCTTTAAATATCAATTTACCGTATACAACCTCAGCAAACATTTGTAAAGGTTTAGATAAAGTCATTGTTTCGTATTCTATGTCTTGCCCATCTTAACAATCATGGTTCATGTCAAACTAAGCCTGTGGTACCTTTGTGTAGAAGTCCTTAACAAGCGATGAAGAACACTGGCTTGTGGTCAGGTTGAAGCAGGGCTGGTAGTCGGGCTGGATGACACGTATGGCCTTCAGCACCATGTCTCTCTCATCTTGTTCGAACACACACTGAGCGAACAGATCATCCACAGACAGACCATCCTCGTCCATCTGGCTCAGGCACCTGGATAAACAGGGACATGCAGTCAGTGTATCCGGTTTTAATGCAATACTGTGACATATATTGTGTCTTAACACTTGGGCACTTACTGCATTATACTATGTAATACTTGCAGAGGGCAAAGCAGAAAAGGCCAATCCTATGTTATTCTTTCAAGTGTTTTAATATTTGTGTACTGGTAACAGACAAAGATGGCTTGTTTCATATGAAGCCATTCAAGGTCACTTTGCTCCTAACTTATTGTAACTCAGCTTGTTGCAGTGAAAAATAAAAAAGCAGCTGTTTCCCTGAAATAAACAACCGTGTAGAAATACACATCAACATTGTCACAAAGAAGTTAACTCCTTCCATTTTTACATTATTTTTTCTACAAAATAGCATAAAAACACGGTTTAGCAGCCAGCTTGAGGTCCTTCTCACCGGCACATGTGTACAGTGTGTAATGACTGGCTAAAACAACTGGAATAACTAATAACTATTAAAATATAATGTTCTAATACTTAGGCTAGGGTATTAGTCCACAAGATTAAGAAAACATAACACGACCGATTCTCTTTTGAAAGTCCTTACAATACCCCTCCTTTCCATTAGGGTCGCTATATGCTTGTTCAGGTTTAATGTTAAAAATACCAACCCATCAGATGACACAAGAGGTATATTTTCATTCATGTGGGAGATTATAGTTATTACAGTGCAACAGACTTTGGGGTCATCTGATCACAAGCTCAAAGTTCACAACCTTCTGACCTGCCTGATGATGTGGGAATGGGACTAAGATAATCATATAACTGTCTGAGTCGCTGATTACTTCAGCTTTCAAAAATAAAAAATAAAACTCCCGAGTGTGTGGGGTCATTGCATATGTCTCCCCCACCCTGATCGACAGTTACAGAATATCAATTTAAGTATTTGAATTGATAGGCTTATCCGTCAAACTCAAAGTACAAGTTTGATCCAGAGGCAGATGGGCGCTGACGACATCAGTGAAATGTTTATTTAAACAGAATCTCCTAGAGATCTCTTAGGGAGAGCACAGTCTCCATGACTAGACTGCAGAATGCAGATAATGCCAACATGCAACCAGTCCCAGGAATACAAATGAGAGGTGTAATAACATGATTATTCCATAACTCAGTTTCATATATGATACCTAAGAAGGGCAGTGAGTAAATATTTTCAGCCTGGTGGATCTTTCTTCTTCTGCAATTAGTGGGATCTGGGAGCTAAAATGATAATTATTTGTTTAAATTATTTCATGTATTTTGGTATGTAATGTTATCAAGCTGTACACTGATGTATTCTTCTATTCCATAAATTGGGCCTATTAGTATTTTTTGCAAAGTCTAACATAAAGGTTTTTGTTCGTGCTCCCCCAAACAAAAATGTTGTGTCCTACAAATTATACAAATGCAATGTCTGGCAACAAAGTAGGAAACTATATAATTCTAGAGATTTCACACACACTGCTTCATTGCATGACGGCTTAATTGGATGACTAAATGTCACCGTAGTACTGCATGATATTTGTATGACCTACAGTGTACACTATGCAGTATTTGTTATATGTGAAATTACAGCTATTGTATGTCTACATGGCAGAAAGCTTGTTAGTGTCATGCACACTTTGTGGTCTAAAGCCCCTGCCCAACAAACTGATGAGCTTAAAGAGCCCGTTTGGTTACACTGCTCTCTAGAGGATAACAACAGAACTACATAGGCTAAGCCAAGAGACAGAAGTGAGGAAAACCCATTTATCATCGACCAGAGAGGATGAGCGAGCTTCACCCTGCACACCTTCTCCTCAAGACAATTATAAATAACAGAACACTAATTACCATCTGGAGGAAACCCTGGCTCAGCAACCTTTACCGACTTAATCAAATCACAAGTGAGCAGGGCTCAGCAAATGAATGAATGAATAAAACAAAAGACCCACTGTAATAAAAGACACAAGCCATATGCCTACTGTTTAAAATTATGTAGTGTACGTTTGGAAATATTTCTAAAGCAAACCAAAGAAGTCAAATTTTTGAGTATTTTCACTCATGGCTCGGGTCTCTTGTGATGCAATGTGCATTTTTTGTCTGAGTAAATGAGAGAGTCTTGAACAAAGAGAGGATTAGTCTGGGTGCTAGCAGTGTGGTCCAGAGGAACAAAGAGGGCAGAGAGGTTGAACGATGGAGCATAATCAGCCTGGTGACTGCCCTGCTGCACCCTAGAGAGCAAAGAGCTCTGGAGGACACAGCACTTACAAAGGGAAACTTAAAGGGATATGTGTGCGTGAGTCAGTGTGTGCATGTGTGTGTGTGTGTGTGTGTGTGTGAGAGAGAGAGAGAGAGAGAGAGAGACAGAAGAGAGGGGAACAGATTGGTACATTGAGGGCAAGGATGCTGCAGGGGAGACTTCAGAGGCGAGAGTGATATCAGGAAAGTACGACGGTACTGAGACAACACAGTAAAGATAAGAACTGGCAGACAACAAACAAATGAGTGACAGAGAAAATGATGACAGTGAGGTGGGTAAGAGAAAAGAGAGGCTGCTTGGCCAGAGACTAAGCAAGAGTGCACCACTGCAGAACAACAATGTCATATGAGCATCAGCTTACAGAGATCGATGGACCAACCAGAAACCTACCACCGACCCTACTGCCCTGCCACCTGTCCCGCTATTGGACCATGTCGCATAGGGTGATGTCACTGAGGTCCAGAGGAACTTATGTGTGTGATTCTGTGTGTGTGTGATTCTGTGTGTGTGTGTGTGTGTGTGTGTGTGTGTGTGTGTGTGTGTGTGTGTGTGTGTGTGTGTGTGTTGTGTGTGTGTGTGTGTGTGTGTGTGTGCCTTTTGTGTAACAGCACTTAATGTGACTGATGGTGATGAAGCTGTCAAACAACTAATCAAGCCAGTGGTGACATGGGGGGAAGTTATGATATATGATAGTGGGGTATTTTGCATGGTGTGATTAGAAACTAGCTGTGCCCAAAGTCACAGCCTGCCTTCATCAGAGGACATAGCTTATTAACGTCAAACCTAGAGCAATGATGGTTGTGGCCTGAAGCTGTGCCCCCTTTCCAAAAGAGAAGGTAAAAAGTCAAAAAATCCAAAAGTAATGGTGAATTCAGGAAGCTCATGTCAAGTCATGAACTGTCATACATTCTGAAAAGATCTACTGAGACAAAGTTTTTGCAAATTGTCCAAGTGAGATAAAAACACAGTCCAGTTTCCTATAAGTTGTGACATTTTTCACAACTGGCAGACAATGTAACAAGTTAATAGTAAATATTAGAGCCTAACGGATACTGAATTTTTGAGGGTGGTATGGATATTTGAGAGTTAAAAATACTGATCAGTAAATTATATATCTGGTGACCATTTTCTTAAACATGCAAACATCCAAAGGCATGCAGGTTAGGTGATTTGGTGACTCTAAATTGCCCACAGGTGTGAAGGGTTGTTGGTCTATATGTTAGCCCTGTGGTAGACTGGTGGCCTATCCAGGGTGTACCCCGCCCTCGCCCAATGTGAGCTGGGATTGGCTCCGCCCCTGGAGTTATATGACTGATGACCACCTGAACACTTGCCTAGTATTTACTGTACAATGTATTCTACTCACATTTATGGATTTGAATAGTGTTAACAAGGATCACCTGAATGCATCTGGCCATCTACAGAAGATCCTGGGATACTGAGGACCACTAGGGAAACCCCACGCATGTACTCCAAAGTCAGACAGAAAAAGACCATATTTCTCATTTGCTATCAGAGAAGCTTTTGGAGTAGGACACCCCCGTGAAGGAATTAACTCCTGAACTGGGAAACAGACCATGTAGCTTACTTCAAAGAGGGCAGTATTTCTGTATGAAAACAAACTGTGCCCTGTAATTTTTCCTGATATAATAAGTCCAGACTAATGTCAGGCCCAACAGAGAGAAAAGAAGGATTCAATATGAGTTCTGCCACTGCCTGGGCAGCAGGCCAACTGATTGTATAGGCTGCCATCGAGCAGACATACACACTGTGACACATGTAGTCTTGTGCTGAGGCTGTGAGCTGTGCACAGCGGGGTTACGTGTGCAGAATGTCATGTAATAAATCTAAATGTGGAGCTGACACATAGTCAGTGACATAACAACGTGATTAATAATACTTAACAGTGATTTGTCAGGATGACCTAGTTACTGCAGAGACATAACTGGGCTATTAGTTGTCAAGGATGTCCTTGATGAAAAAAGTTGCCAAAACTTGCCAAAAGTTGTCTGTGCAAAAAGAAATCAAATACACCACAATGCACAGTCAGAGGTTTTCTGCTGTCTTGTAACAATTTAATTAGTCTAACACAACTTCATAAACTCTGAGTCAGCAAGCTGCCACAACCAAAACAATTTTAACTGGCCTTGTAAAAGGAACAATAATTACTAAAGAAGTTTCCACAGCTAAAAAAATGTTTAAAGACACAATCATGTCATGCTGGATTGCCATGGAAACATTATCAGCAATTAAGGCAAAGAACAGGAAATTGTCAGTAATACTGGTAGCTGTCAACTTAAGCAGAGACAGGAGAGACACTGAACACTGATACTGTCTAGCACTCTTAATAATACACAATACATAAGAAGAATGCATAAGTTGGTGGAACTTTAATCATTCCTATGCAAAACTAACTGTGGCCAACATAATTTGGAAGGAGCATACATATGTGAGAAGCCTTGATTTACTTATTAAGCAGATCTGAAAATGATGATACAGTCAATCCCCACACACTGTTGAGCCGATATATAGTACCTGTTGCATCTTAGGTCCCATTGTTGTCTGACATTGTTGTGGTTGCAAAACTGAGATGCTGAGGTATATATTGTTTTGATTTTTAAAGTAAAAGATTTCTGTAAACATTGTGCAGTAAACAGGCTGAATATTAGCAACCCTGACAACATTATTTCAGGATAAAAAAGTCATTAACAGACAGCCACAGCTACAGCCGTAAATAAATAGTTCATGTCAGAGCTAAAGGGACATTGGGAAAGTTGTTGCAGAAAAAAGAAAACCATGAGGATAGCATGACCCCTGCTGGTGAGTCTGTGCATCACTACCCTGCCATCTTATTTAAACTCTTCACAAGTCTTTATACCCCTCCTGTTCAATATCACATGATACTGAACAAATGTGTTTACATGTCAAATGAATGTAATCACAAACACAGCTCTTTGTGATCCTTGTTCATGGGTAGTGTGTATGTGTGCACATACCTAGTGATGACTTTTGGGGAGCATTTGGGATTGCGGCCCATACACTCCAGAGCAGCACAGTAGGAGCCCAGATTTGGCTTCAGACCAGCTTCTTCTAGCAGAATAAACATGCGACCAATCTGATGTAATGTGCCCTACAGACAGAGCCACACAGAAAAGGCCATTAAACTTTGCCAGCAAGTACACTTAACACCAATGTTAACAAATAAATTACTGTCCGAACCCTGCCATCTGCATATGACCTTGGCTAGGTATTTATAATATGTTACTTACACACTCTCCAACAGTGTTTGTTCATTAGACCATTAATAAGAATAGTAACAATGTAATCTAGAGATTTCAATTTACTTGTCATCTTTCACTAGATATTTTGAAACATCCTTAAAAGGTAATTTGCCAACGTGACCATAAACTTTCTTTAAATAAAACATTCTGACAGGCCACAGTAGGAAAATGTAAATAATAAAAATAGCTGCTTCAGTCTCAGGGTTGTGGTAATGTGCATTCTGGATCACTGTTAAACTGTCATTTGTGACCTCACTGAAGAAGTGCTGCAGTTTAAGGGCTGTGTAAGAGTTATTTTCAAAAATCAGTCAAAATGTATAACAAATCAAATTCAATTCCACAAAGGGCTCAGTTTTCAAACACTTTTGAACTCACCCTCTTGGCCCACACCCTCATCATGATGTTGTAGACACTTGTCTTCAGATGTTTACGTCGACTCATTACTCTGTGCTGACTGAGCAGGAAACAGTGTGCCCTGTCAATCTCCCCTGCAAACACACACGCCTCCAGGTAGGAGCAGATGCTCAGCAGGATGTCCCCACAAGCAGTTACTTCACTGTCCGCCTGTAGGCGCTCTGGGTTATGAGAAGAAGTCCACTGGTTCACCTGCTGATTGAGCCTCCTCTCCCATTTTTCTATATCAGCCAGCTCCGTAGCCATGTTCTGAGCATCGCTGACAGTCTGCTTTTGTCCCGTTTCACTGAGAGGCTGATTTATAGAATCCTTCCACTTCCGTTTAGAGACTTCGTGTGACACGGCTGCTGCAGCAGAAGCAGCAGTGGAAGTAGCTGTTGAAGAAGCTGCAGCGCGCATTTCCTCAGATAATGTCATGGACCGTCTAATCGTCTTAATCACAGGTATAGTCATTTTAGCTTTGGTAGATATAGTTTTCTTCGCTGCGCCTGGGAGCATCTGGGAGCTGCTTTTGCTACCTTTAGATTTGCTCATTTGTTTCTCCTTGATATTTTTCTGAATTTTCTGCTGGATATGCTGCTGTTTCTTGAGTTTGTTTTTCTTCTCCTCAGTTAATTTTTCCATCCAGCGACTTGGCTGTGATTTAAAGGCTCCTTTAACAACAGTCTGTCCTGATTTAGGAATGTCAGTTTTCTCCTGAGACATGTTTTTGGGACCCCTTCCAGATGATACCCCTCTTCCAGCAGAAGGGGCTTTAACAAATTGCACTTTAGCATGTTGGACATCTAGAACAATGTCAGTTTGGAGTTGCTGGATCCTGGCCTCAATCACTGAGAGGGAGAAATAATAAAAGGCATCTAATGTGAGTAAAGAAAATTACTGACCAGCTTTTTTCTGCATAATACACTGAAATACAGACAGCACTGCAGGTTACTGAACTCTGATATCTCAAAGACTGGCAGCATATCTGACACGAGTCTAAACAAAAGTAGTTCAGGCTGGAAAAATATAGAAAAAGAAGACCTGTCACAGAACTCCTGATATACCAGTATTTGGTATGACATTGTAATAATTCATTACATGCTATTTGGCATTATGTTGTACTGGGATTTAGAAATGTGGCAGCATGACCACCTGCTGCGCTCTACAACAACATACCGTCTAACAGCTGAGACTGTTCCAGCACGCGTTTCCTTGCACAGTCTGTCTTTGGGAGTACAGATGAAACATTTCTTCTTTGTAGCTGGAGAGGTGTCTCTGAAAAAAACAAAAACAGCTGTATACCACTAACATGCCTCCATTCCCTAAGCAATATGATGGCATTCAAAAGCTTAGGCTTGGCTTTTGACTCTTACTACATGCTGTACATTGAAAAGGCTGTGATGCTGCTGATAGTAATGGTGCAACAACTAATAACAATGGTAGTAAAACGCCTTGCTTAATGCTTGCAGTTAAAAAAAAAACAAGAAACAAATGCCTGTTACATCACATTAATTGAGTTAATCGCAGACACAGGAGGAGCATTTGAGGGTTCAGTGTCTTGCTCAAGGACGAGGAGGAGCTGGGAACCCGCCGAACTTTTAGTTGACCAGCTAATAAAGTCCTCGGCAATATTAGAGACAGTTATTAGTTTTAAGTCATTACACGGAACAAATACATCTTAAAAGACACGTCTGAGTATTTTACTCGCTGTGTGAAAAAAAAAAAAAACATGTCCAACAACCATACCTCCTCAGGCTAGACTCAATAACAGACTCTTACTCTTAGATGAGCTAACATTGCTGTTTGCTCGTCTAACACGACACGAACTATGCAGAAAGCCCTGGGTTGAATTAGCACGGAGATACATTAACATTTAACACAAATCCTGGACGAATGGGACAAACCTGTCCATCACACTGCAGCCACACAGGTTATGATATATCAGTCTGAGACAGAGTATCCTTCGACTCACCTGATATTCTTCTGACTGCGCCGTTTCTTGTCGACACACACATCCGACAGCAGTCCGCAAAAGACACACGAACAGCACACTTTTCAAATAAACTGCGACGACGCAGACATTTGGCGAAGGCACACGCTCTAAGAAATGACATGTTGACATGTAATAACCGCGTTACTTCTTAACACTGGGCAGCCATCTTAAAAAAGACCAAGCCAATCGCTACGAGAGGTAATCGCTGTTTTCAAGGCATTGTTAGTAGATCGCAGACAAATCGAGTGAGGCTTTCGGGCTTTTGTCTGTCATTAACACCTTGCAAATGTTGCTTTGACTGGATTCAGGACATAATTAGAGCTATTCAGAGAGCTAGCAGTAATTACACAAAACGTTTTAGTTGTTACTCACATTATGTTGGACTTATTAATGTTTTTTTCCTTGTTTCAGTATCTTGTAGGCAGAACTTCACATATTTATTGCTCAATATTTATAAGCAAACGTTTCTCTTTTCCTTTGTATCTTTTCGGTTACTGAAGTAAAATATTCATATGTAACAGTAGTTTAAAATGCATAGTGAATTGTATTTGGCCTACAGGTGGCAGTCTCACCACAGCCAACCAAGTAGGACTAGAGGTCAAACAGGAGGCCAAGGTGAAAATTTTGTATCACATTTTGAAATTAGTGTTAAAATTTGTGTCATTTTACACATCATGGTCAGATGTTGGCTCATGCAAATTTAAAGTAAATGGCAGTCTATATAGTTAAGTTTAGAAAGGAAATGCATACTAAGCAGGAAAGGTTGTAATAATTTTGCATAAAAATCTTCGAAAACTTAATGAATGATAATATAAATGAAAAGTGAAAAACACAGTGTTTCTGTCATCTTTTCACCTAAAACACCATGACAATCTTGGCAGCCATGTGTATGTTGTCTCAGGACTTGAACAGCATATAGAGTTTTTGTAGCAATTATTTGCCTTTTTAAATTTCTTATTACTTGAGGGAATGAAAACACTGCATGTGAGGTTATGATGTACGTGGTTGTAATGTAATCTGAAGCTGGTTGTATACACATGCAACCTGCTCTCCTGCTGACTTGACCTAAGCACTTTCTACAACCTGGGGGAAAAAAATTATTGTCTTCTTTTTCTCTTCGACTTTTGAAGTACAAACATCATACAGTTTAAATCAAGTGTGACTCAGCTCCAAATTGTCAGTAAAACTGAATTGATCTCATTCACATCCTGGTTACTTTCTGACCCCCAGCAGTGTCAGCCTCCCCTTGTTATGCATCCATAAAGCATTCTTAAACACTTTAGCAGCCCTTTGTGTCTCGGCATGCTGGAGGTTAACACAAGCACTACTTGACAGAGACAGAGAGAGAGAGTGAAAGAGAGAGAGAGAAGACAGAGAGAGAAGGGGGGGGGGGGGGGGGGGGGGGGGGGGGGGGGGGGGGCAGAGAGGGAAATGAGGTCCAGGCAGTACATCTTTTCTCAGTGGAGGCAGTGGCTGAGAGCACAGCGGTGGGTGTCTGCTGCTGAGCTGTAGGTGAGGATCAGGAGGTGTTTGTTGCCACGGTTCACGAGCAGGGCCCCTTGACAGCCTCGTTTGATGTGGTTGGCCCCTGTCGGCGGCTGGCTCTTTGCGCTGGTGTGACAGTCATTGCCGGGTGAGTGACTGTCAATGCCCCGACCGACAAAAGAGGAGAAGACAGGCATTCATGGGGCCTGATAATGGCCAGGCCAGGACAAGGCTGCCATTCTCATACACTTTGATCATGTGGATTCTTTTGCACACCTTTGTAGGGGCTCCCTATTTGTTTAACAGATGGAGAGAGGGCTGTTTTTGAAACTGCTTCACCTGGCCAGGGAAACTTGATGGAGATACTTCTCTGTGTGATGCTTGTGCTGGTAAATGCCTTTGGCATGTGTGTGTGTGTGTGTGTGTGTCTGCAGCACTTAGATGGAATTAGTGACCTGTCCCGAGGGGAAAAAACTGCGTCTCAAGGAACTTCCTCATGAGCCTCCACATATGTGACATCTGAGACAACAAAGAAATCATATTTGGAGCTGAATTTGGAAACCTTATTAAATATATTTTTCAAAATCTCACTTTTGAACTCAAGCTGAGACATGCAGCGCATTAAGACTTTGTACAGTCTACTGTAAGCTTCCAGAGCACTCATACAATCATTAATGATAAAATATTACTCATCACACACTTTATGTCCATAACCATCCATTACAGATGGGTTAGAATGATCCTTCACTGGACTGCTGTGACTCACAAAGCTCTGACTTGTTTTCCCCATAGAATGCATTTTAAGATGGATTCAATTACTGACTCAGTTAAAATGTCAAAAGAAGTGTCATGCAACTATTTACAAGTACATCTTAATAGAATAATTTGAGAGAATCATGTATACTGCAGACTTTAATGATGCTGGGTCAACCTCAGCATTCAGACAAAGCTACTGTATCTAAGGCAGCAACAGCACTCCTCGTTTTCATTAGGCGAGAGAAGAAATGCAGAGTCAGCAAAGATTTTAAAGTGTTTTTTTCCATCCTCACCACCATCCTGCTCTATCCGTGTTATGTGCGTCTGATAGATCAGATTAGCAGGGCACAGATGTTTAATCACTCCTGACAAGTCACATTTTTTCCATCAAACACTATCAGTCAGTTGGATCTCTGCTTGTTATCCTGTGAAGAACTGGGAGGCTGGATCTCTCAGAACGTTTTACAGCATCAGATAGACGACCCACTTATCATATTGCCACTGACAATAGACAATGGTCACAAAGCAGGATATGCAAAGGTCCATGTCCTCAGTGGGGCTGATCTGTGGTGGTCTGGTCAGTTCCTTTAACCACGTCCGGATGTTTGTCAGCCAAGCACAGCAGACAGCTCAAAGGTATCAGGCACACCTGTGTTGGGTCTGAACCAACAGCACAGGCAGTTTTGGAAGCACTGAGAGGATAAATTGCATAGTCACTAAAATTATAAGAATTTCCTGCCTGTGAATAATATGTATGAGATAATTTCCTTGTGTGAGTGTTGCAACTCTTTGCACCTCAGCATCTACAGTCCAGAGAAAGTAGATTGTCATGTATCTGGAAACAGTTTTATCCAAAACAAGGAAAACAAATACCCTCCCAGCACTGAATTGCAAATTGGCAGAATGTCAGTACACTTAAAGGCACTAGGTCAAGGGTGAGTAGCTAAAACACAACTACTAGAGCAAGAGAGAGAAAGAGAGAGACATGGACTTAGCAGGCAGGCAAAACAATTAATAATAGGGAGCTATTACCGAGGGATTGTCAGTGCTAGGAGGGAGGTCGGGTTTCAGACCCTTTTGAAGACTTTGATGGTACAAAACAGGCCTCATTATAGAGATATTATCTCTATTCATACACTTACAGAGCCGCTTGGATCCCTGCTGGGAAAGATTAGGTTCCTCCACTTGAGAACATCCTCCTTGGGTGCTTGGCTAGCAGAGTGGTGTTCTCAGCTCAGGGCACACCCACACAGCTCAACTCAACTCAACTCAACTCAACTCAACTCAACTCAACTCAACTCAACTCAACTCAACTCAACTCAACTCAGCTCAACTCAACGCTTCGCTCAGGACATGACAACCCCAGCCAAACCATGCTAAACTAAACCCAAGGACGTAGATTAAGATACAAAATAGTCCACCTGCAGCAAACAGGCATCAGGCCTGTTGTGGAAGTGACACATCACACTAAACTACAGCTAGAAGATCAAAACTCCTTTTAGCCACACAAGGAACGGCAATTTCAGTCCGTCGGTTGGTTCACCACATTGATCCAGACTGAAATGTCTGTGCAACTATAGATGAATTGAAATGATGTTTTGAACAGACTGTCATGTTCCCTAGAGGATGAATCGTACTGACACTTTACATCTAGTGTGACCATGATGTTGACATTTGTGATTCTGAGTAAAATGTTTCAACAATCATTGGATTGATTACAATGAAATTTAGTCCAGACCTTCATGTTCCTCTCAGGATGAATTCTTATAACTTACTGAACCTTTTATCTGGCGCCAATACTTTGGTTTAAGACCAAATACCTGCAGAGCTAATAACCCTCCCCTTAGCTGTAGTTGGTTTAGCATTAATTGGCAAATGTTAGTATGATAACATACTAAACTAAGATGTGTTAGCACTGAGCTGAAAACACAACTGTTCCTAAAGGTTCTGTATACCTGTTTCTGATCTAAGAAATCAGAACTGGATTCCACACTGACTTACAATTTATACATGAGTAAGACAATTGTAAACAGAGTTAGCTTAACTGGACATTTAGTAAATCCTCAGTATGCGTTACAATCTTGGAATCATCTAAATTACTGTAGTTTTCAACATCAAAGATGCACACTGTAAAAAACAGTGAGACATTGCACGTTAAGACTTTTAACAAAGAAATACATTATAATTGAGTCTGCTCTGGCACTGAGCTCAGAGCCCAAACATTTGCTTCCAAGACACCACAAAGCAATCTGCTGCCACATCTGACGTTCACATGAGGCCCGAGCTTTGCTGTTGACCTCGGGGGCCACTCTGATTTTTGAGGAGTTCTACAGTACATAGAATGATTGTATGATTTTAATTACGAGGAATTTCAGCAAAGGAAAGACAACTGAACCTTCTTTCTTCGTTCTTATACTTTTTTTCTCACTCTCACTTTCTCTTTATTTCTGTCTTTGTTTTCTTTGTTTGCATATGTTTCATTTTTATTTCATTTTGCAGAAGAGAAATAGAATCACAGATACTCTTGAGTAGATAAGGGCAGTATTTTAACTACATCTATAATATTTTAAACATTATAATACATAACGTATAAATGTGTGTACAGCACAATACAAAGAAGACTGCATTGTTTTGCATGAAATGGTAGTATATACAAATATATGAATATACACTGACACATGGGCCAAGAGAGCGGTACACTATTACTAAAATATATATATAAAAAAAAAAGATTTAGTTCACTTTCTAGGAGAATACACATTGGTATAAAATAAAATGCATATCAACACTTTCAGATTTCATTCATCATAAATTGCTGTAGCACGATGATCTGTTTGAATGGTTTCTCTATATCACTATTAAATTAACAAAAAGTAACAC